CTCACTCACTCACTCACTCACTCACTCACTCACTCACTCACTCACTCACTCACTCACTCACTCACTCACTCACTCACTCACACACATAGCATATTTTGTATTTTTCAACAGCCTAAGTATAGTTTGTGTGTGTTCTTTCATCAGTCATAATATTAATACCATTCTATCGTTTTTAACAATTTCCTCTATCATAACTGTTATGATTTCAATCGGTTCACTGTTTGTATATGTATTCAAGACAATCTTATATTGATCAGTACTATGATATGGTACATTACATTGCTATGTTATACAGAATGTCATAAATTATCGAAAAGACACACTAATAGTTACTATGGTATTTCACAGTGTAAAACAAATAGTCTAGTTACTACTTTGATTTAGATAGTCTGGTACCCCAATTTACATACACAGAATCTGTCTAAGTCTAGTACAGGGTCTGTTTATCATTACCGAGAATTATATAAAGCGTTAAAATTCCTCAGATCATATCTGTTCGAAAAATATGAAATAACCTGTTCACAGATTAAATGAACTGCAAATGATCAGTATCTTATTGGCATATTTGCGGATTGCCTCGATATCGCCACTAAGTCACAAGTCTTTAAAGCGGAGATAGATTGTGGTGAGCAGTGGTATCCAGGATCCAGATTTCGTTCTATTTAGGAATCGTAGGTACATTGAGCTGACGAGTTCCAAGTAAGACGAAAAGTGGGGCCACCATCCATCTCTGTTTAAAGCATCTATGATACTGTTATGTTGTTATTATTCTAGTACATGTGTAGTGATTTACATTTGTGCTGATCATTTTGTCTAAGAAGATGGTGAAAACTTCATGATTAAATCGATCGGCTTAATAATATAACACTCATCGACATCTAAAGTGTGTAGAATGTACAACTTGACAAGCAATTACATAACTCTCGGCTTTTCCCAAATGATACAATGAACTGCTTACATAGCTATATGTTATAACACTTTTTTAAGTTTCATTTTTACTCTTCCAGTGAATCTCCTTTACCGACAGTCGATGTAGTTTTCCGTAATTCAAATGAAGCTGATCAATGGAGTCCAGTTGTTGAAGTTCTTACTGACGCAGAAATGGAGAAAAAGATACGCGATCAAGATCGTAATACCAGGTAAGTATCACTATAGCCCCAACCATAGAAAGTTACAATCAAATAAATCATTAATGCATAGTAAAAGGAAGTCCTTTGAGTTTGATAAATCAACATATGTTGAATTCACGATCTATCTTTAAGTTTAATAGTCTTGTGAATCCAGCAAATTTGACATGGAACTATAATATACGGGCAACCTTTGACCGACTCTAAGTTGATGTCCACGTAATAGCTAGGTCTAAATGAGAGTTATAAACCAGTTTGAGGAATTAGGATTATGATTTACAGTTGATGATTAAGGTTAGGAATTAGACTTATGGTTTTTATCACGAAATGACATCAGCTATAATGTCAAAGTAGTATTTAACCAAATAAGTGAATGAATTTCGCGCCATAGTCCAAGATCTGATAACCTAAATCTGATTGGTTCTTCCATAAATAATAGTCTTGCCGTTGAAATTGTGATATTTTCACATTCCTCATTATATACCATGAGGCAGAGAAAATGATCAATACTGGTTAATTTAAATATACTATATTTAGTAGCTGTTGGGGATGTTAGATCCCCAGAACCCACTTGGTAAATGCCTTATTTTTGTAATTCTATTTTAAATTTCTTGTTTTCGCGCCATAAGCACCCATTTTCACCTTCATGCCGTGTTTCCCACTTGGGAGGACCTTAAATGCTATTGGTTCGTTGTCTCTTTCACTATGCTATTTTGTAACGTTCCCCAAGGACATTTTTATGCTGGATATATATACTTGAGTTGTGCTTGTTGCTGTTCGTGCTTCTGGCTGCTTGTGGAATATATTTCCCTCTTCTGCACGTGGACTCCTCTTTCTAGTTAGCAGCGTTGGGACACATCGGAATAGCTAGCTTATTGGTCATTGTATCACTGAGTCTTTGTTCTGTTCACAGATTAGGCGAATTTGCAATCTCGTCAAGCATAGAAGTTTGATAGACATATCATTGTTAATTTTTCCTTTCTACATTTTATGTAAACAACTGAATGAATTTTGATGGACGGAAAAAATAGCTCAGATTGATTACATTTGTATGACTATCTTCGTGAGGGGATTCCCGGAGTTGTAGTAAGAAACCGTGACCAGTAGAGCTAATGTGTGTCGGGTAGGGATAGGTATCTACCTCAGTACAATCGAAGATGGTTGCGCAGTTTCGTGGATTGGTTGAGGTTAGACATTAACACTATTTGACGCTGACTCAATGGTCTAGAGGTTAGGCATTCGCGCGCGGGACTAAGAGCCCTGGGTTCGAATCCCGCGGGCGGGGTCGTGGATGTGCGCCGCTGAGGAGTCCCACGATGGGACAAAACGACCGTCCAGTACTTCTAGGTTTTCAATAGTGGTCTAACATCAATCGATTCATGATCTCAATCAAAAACTTAATAATATCCACAACCCTATACTGTTAATTATAAAATTTAGTCCTTTGTTTTCACTTATCATCGGTTCAGACAAACAAACAAGCACATTGTTCTCATTTTTATCCTTCGAATTTATGTCGAATGAGAAGTAAAGTCAACTAGATTCACTTTTATTGATGAGTTTCAGATTTATTTTGGGCATGTTTTGTTGTTAGTTCCTATTATATATTCCTAAACATACCATAAATACTCGTTTAGATTGCGATATGGCATCTATTACTACTAATGAAAATGTTGTACTGTCAATGAACAAAGGCCCATTCAAATTTATTAATCATTTCTGATCATAAATAATCATGCACACTACCTATTTTAAACAACTATACGTAAAACAAAATTGCGATCAGCTGACTTAATAACATGGCACAAATCCATGAAGTCATTGACAAGTGGATTGAGCCATGTTGGTAGGTATAGACTACCTGGTTGGGATCTATGAGACGATAGCAACCGATGGTTAGAGACCTCGAATGATATGGCTCAAAATCGTTTTCAATGCTGTGAGCAGGTGCACCCACTTTTTGTGTTCTCCCAAATTTTAATCTTCTGAATTCTTCATGTACCTTTTTTTCTCCTTCCAAATTTATTTCACTGGAGTGTACTCCTTGAATAACATCTTCAAACTCTAATCTTTCCGACTACTGCTTATACTTTTACTACCTCCACCAATACGGGATTTAAATTGACAATTGTATCTCTGTGCTAATGTGGTATGGCAGGGTGAACTGATGTACGTATGTACGAAGTTCTACGTTGTTGCTGACTTACTGATTCTCCTATGTATGAGTCTGATATGAAAGTTTTCTCAGTTCGTACGAAAAAGTTACTTCAACTAATCTAAACTCCTAGCAGATTACTTGATCTAAACTTTATTTGGATTATTTCGTCAACCACACATTTTTCATGTTTAACAGTTTATATACCTATTGTATCCTCATTTTCACCATGCATTTTTCTTTCCTTTCCCTAGACGAATGCGTCGTTTGGCGAATGCACAACCCAATTGGTAGACATTTTGTTTTCTACAATGTTTTCAGTGTTGGTGTACACATTTCTTAAAAAGTTTTCCAAACAATAATAATAACCTATTTATGTTAAATCAGTATCTTTTATTCTTGAGACAGTTAGTCATCTTCGAGTGTAGGACCAGGCACATATATGCGTCGGTTTAAGTTGCCGTACCTTATTGAGCACAACAAGATGAACACCAAATTCATAGAAGTAGCCAATTCAATGGTGGTAATGTATAGAGAAATGATTGCATCTAAGGATGTAATACAGGGAGGGAGAATTAGTTCGTAGGAAGAGAAGGTATAAAGTATAAATTCATTTTGTATTGTTTGTTCGAATTTTCCTATTAGTGTTTAGGACTGCAATTGACCAATCTCTTATTGTCATACGTGCATCCTGTGCAGACTACCTCGATTATTGCCTTGAGTAACTAGCATTATAAGCAAACAACATCAACTCTAGGATGCAGGTACATCCCGAATAGGACGAAATGCGCGTCCTGGATCCCACTGCTGGCCCATGTCACTCAAAGTATCCAATCATTGGCTAAGATAGTCTGCATCTACCAACATGGCTCAGACCAGAAGTTAGTGACTTTATAGTCTGATGCCGCGTTCTGGTTTGGTCACCCCAAACTTCCTTCCGACCATCTCCAACACTGGTCAGCATTGCACGTCGTGGTAATTGGTGTTCAGGCATACGCAACACGTGGCCCAACCATCTCAGTTGGTGAAGATTAACAACCTCATCAAGTGATTTACCGTCATTCCCTAATACCCTGCGTCTAACATCATCATAAATAAACTTAGCAAATATGTTAGTTGATTGATTCGGAAAAGTGTTTTCGCGTTATTACTGATTAAGGTTTTCTATCGACAGCATTATATATAAAATAACAGCTTGAAAGAGATCGGTGATAATATTTCGCTAATTGAAATCACCTTTCTAAATGGTCAATTTTAAGAGAACAAGCGTAGAGTAGTAGTAGCGGTAGTTTATGCGGATCAACATGTTTTAAATGAAACCTACACTAACTGTATCCGTTGCCTCAACCAAAAACTAAGTCGTTCAATATTGACATATATTTATTGCATATGAGCGGTTTGAATACACAAGTGTACAATGTACTACCGGAAATGTTAACATCCCATGACTTTACGATGACTATCACCGATTCTGTGTTTTTCAGGGTTAAGTAATTATGACATAAATCGATACCATTCCTTTTCGAACTGACATTTGTATTAACATACTATAAATCTTGAAATCCCTAGTATTCAAATGCTTTCGGTAACAAATAAAATATTTGTAGAAAATTGATGTAAAAATCAATGTATTTAGTAAATGGAGAATCACAGGAAAGTTAGGTCATTCATCAGATCTTGATGAGTTTTTATACAACCTAGCCTAATATGAATTATATTCATCGATTATCCAATTGTCTTTCACGAATATTCACGGACTCGTCAAATTTAATCACATAAGCAGTTCCCTTGTACCAGGTTGCCGTAACTGTACAAGGCTATAGAAAAAAAAGAAAGAAAGGCAATTTACTTCTTAAGATGAAATATCCAATGGAGTTTCCATGTATTATAGAACATACTTACAATCTGTATGTTCATAATAAACACTTACTATCTTTAACTCTTTTTTCTTTTTGATGGAGTTTTCATTGTTCTTGTGAACATCATCATCAACACAAACTTCTTGATTAATATTGACTAAGGCTGTTTTCTTTAGTGAATCGGCTTTACAAATCACAAGTTTTAAAGAGGGTTTTCCAATAAGTCAAATTTTTTAAATCCTTATAATGTGAGTGCTAATTTTATGATTGAAAAACTTTTTATTTGATCACATAAATGTTGGTACAAGGGGGCATCAATCAGTTATGCGCCACATAAATCATTCGATTCATGTGAGGGCTGGGATACTGCCCGGGTGCCCGAACCGAAGCAAATGGTTTCCTTGGAGGGCCACACCCGGAGCTTTTCTTTCTAGTTTTATCCAATTGTTGTTGATTCTTCTCATGTCTGTATCCATTTATCCGCGCAATGTGTTCTTTGGTATTCCTCTTCTCCTTTGACCTTGAGGATTCCAAGTGAGGGCTTGCTTTGTGACATAGTTGGGTGCTTTCCTCATTGTGTGTCCTATCCACTTATAGTGCTTCTTCCTGATTTCTTTCTCCGCTGGAATCTGGTTTGTTCTCTCCTACAGTAGGTTGTTGCTGATAGCGTCTGGCCAACGGATCCGAATTATTTTACGTAGACAACTGTTAATAAACACCTGTATCTTCTGGATGGCGGCTTTCGTAGTTCTCCAGGTTTCTGCCCCATACAGTAGAACTGTCTTGACATTTGTATTGAAAATCCTGACCTTGGTGTTGGTCGACAGACGGTTGTTTTGAGTTTCAGATATTCTTCAATTGCAGATATGCTGCTTTTGCTTTGCTGATCCGCATATTCACACCTGCACCAGATCCACAGTGTTCATCAATGATGCTGCCCAGGCAAATAAAGGTATTTACATCCTCCAAATCTTCTTCGTCGAGTGTGATTCGGTTGGTGCATACTGTGTGGTATCGGAGAATCTTTCTTTCCCCTTTGTGTATGTTGAGACATACTGCTGCTACACTGGTCGACGTCTCTTGCATTTGATGTAGCTTGTGCGATAGAAGAGCCAGATCATCTGCGAAATCTAGATCGTCCAACTACATACTAGCCGTTTACTGTATCCCGTGCTTTCCCCCAGATATTGACGTCTTCATAATCCAGTCGATCATCAGAAGAAAGAGATAGGGTGAGAGTAAGCAACCCTGCTTGATACCGGTCTTTACTTGGAACGAGTCTGTGAGCTGACCTCCATGCACAATTTTGCAGTTTAATCTACCATAAGTATTCTGTATGATACCCCGTAGTGTTGAGGAATCATTCATAATATTGTCCTATCCACGCTATCCAGTTATAATAGTAAACGATATGAATTCGAATTTTTTAAGTGTTAATGTATGATATTTTTATTAGCTGAAATGCTTCAGTAATACTGTGGTGTGGGCTATTGGTGCCGATAGATATAAGTAGTATGTATCATCAATCGAAAGTGAAATAACTGGCGGCAGAATGTTAAGAAGATCGAAGAAAAGAGAACAAGGAATAGTCGGTGTGGAAACGAAAGAACAATGAAGTCTGAGACAATTGATCGACATTTTGCAAATGAAGTATTTACTGTATGATTCTCAGATTTTACTAAGATATTCTGTAATTTTGTATTCAAATACATGCAATTATCCCCACTTGTGTTTTCTTTCACTATATATGGTATCGCTACCAACCACAAGGAGGGGAAGGATGCTGTTCTGAGGACGCCGATACGGGCTTGGTACTGAGGTACTAGTTGGTGTGATGTGTGCTACTTATATCGACACAAGTAATATGTAACACTAGTCAGGAATAGAATGTCTCACAGCAGAAGATCGAGGAGGAATGAACGGGAACAGAAAGCAATTGGTATGAAAATGAAGGAACAGTCAAGTTTGAGACAATTGATTGACATTTTTCAAATGAAGTATTAGAACAACAGATGTAAGCGAGCAATATTGTTTTCAATTAGATCGTTATCGCGGACGCATGATCTCAATCAAAAACGTAATAATCTCCACAACCCCTATACTAGTAATAAAACATGTGCTCACTAGTGACTAGCTTCGTGAGGGAATTCTCGGAGTTCTAGTGAGAAGCCGTGACCAGTGGAGCTAATCCATGTCGGGTAGAGACAGGTATCTACTTCAGTACAATGGAAGTTGGTCGCGCAATTTCGTGGATTGATTGGTGTTAGACACTATCACCATTGGATCCCGGCTCAGTGGTCCAGTTGGTTAGGCGCCTGGCGCGAGACTGATAGGTCCTGGGTTCGAATCCCGCCAGCGGGATCGTGGATGCGCACTGCTGAGGAGTCCTACAATAGGACGAAACGGCCGTCCAGTGCTTCCAGGTTTCCAAAGGTGGTGGTCTAACATCAATCGATTCATGATCTCAATCAAAAAATAAAAGTCGTTTGTTAAGATATAACTGGCCACAAAAGGGATAGGGGGGTTACGAATTTCTTCTGTACACATAAATTGGGGTTATATGTACCAATTCCTATAGCTTCAGCTATATGTAGGAGGCGGGAACGAACTCTGTTGGGATACGATGTAGGTACATGATAGACCACACAAAATGCTTCCGATTTGTCTACAGTATGACGGCCATGAATAAGATATGCCAAGATAGAACCGTGTATTGTTTTTATCTGACCATTTATAAACTAAGCTGGTAGATGATCATTCATTCGTTGGTTAAGTTGACAGGTAGTATGCCCGATATAGCTGTCGTAACAGGAGCAACTGCATTTTTAAATGCATATTGAGGAGGCTAACTCAGGTAACTTATCCTTTGTTGGTCGACTCGAGAAGGTCAATGCAAGATTGGCTGCGTAGAATGTCCTGCTAATTACTTTCGTTAACCTATCTTTGAGAGTATCACTAGCCACATCTCCGTTGAATTGTAGTTTGATGTATAAAGACTTCTTTCGAACAGTAGAAATCTCCGACTTATTTTTTATGTTGTACATGTACTTTGTTGAGGCGGCAGCTAACCAATATGTTAAGGGTAATGTCCTTAATATCTGACTCCAAATAATAATATCCCGTAAACTGAGTATTTAAGGTAGGCTTAATCTCCTAGTAGAATTACGGATTTACTCGAGATTATTAAGAAGCCTGAACACCAGTTATGGAGATAGTTTATTATTAATGAATAATGATGATCCACAAGCGTATTGTGAGCAAGCACACGATGGGAACAGAGAGAGTGAGTGAGTTTGTTAAAAGTCCATATATATTTGAGGGTTAATCGGGTGTAGATAAATTATCGATTATCTGCACGTTGAAACCAATAGGAAAATAGTTTAAAAGTTAATGTACAGACATGCATTCGATCATACACACCGAAATTAACATAGTGAATTGAGAGTCTAAGTTACAATGAATAGACAGATGATACAGTGGCCAAATGGGCTTGCCACATAAGCTCCCATCCAGAACATTGATGTTTTTATGTACCAAAAAAAAAAATTGAATTAACATCTATGTTCGACAAAGAGATAAAGAACGGAACTGTTTTTAAAATGAAAGTACAACTCAATATGATGAGTAAGCGTAAAATTGTAATAACAGCTTGTGTGTTGAAACGTTTCATATCATGTATATACAAGTGTATATTTAACATTAATGAATTGTATAAAGTTAAAATGTAAGCATAATGATGATCCGTGGGGCCAATAAAATATAAAAAAAATAGTAATCAAAATAAAGTAGGATTTTTATGTGTTATAAGAGTAGTCTCAGGATTTGGTCTAGATAAATATGGTGGTTGCTACATACCTATCTGGCCAATGTACTCTCCTTCCTGATCTTGTTGTAGTTTGTGCTGCTGCTGAATTTCGATTTGAAGTGTTGCTTGTTGCAGGTAGTTTGAATGGTGCTTGCTCTGCTGCAGGTTTAGACGGTTTTACAGTTGTCTGTTTTTCAGTGTTCTCTAAAAATGCTGGTTTTACTCTATCGATGCTAACTGTATCACAAGTTAAGGTGTCCTTGTTGTTTATGGGGATGTTTTGGAATAATAATTTCGTTTCCTTAGACTGCAAAAGCTTTTGTAGTTCCGTATCGACCTTTTGATGCTTTGCCATTTCTTGATAGTCTATATCAGGGATCGAGAAGGTATTGATATTTAATCTCGATAGTGCATCTGCTGCCTCATTTGCATTGCCTTTAATATAGCGTATATCAGCTGCAAATTGTGAAATGAATTCTAGTTGACGAATTTCGCGCGGACTATATTTATCATGATTGTGCATCAAGGACTTAGTTAGGGGTTTGTGATCAGTATATATCGTGAAAGAATTGCCTTCTAACATGTAGCGAAAGTGTTTGATGGCTAAGTAGATAGCCAACAGTTCTCTACCGAATGTGCTATATTTTGTTTGCGTTGCGTTTAGCTTTTTTGAGAAAAATGCAAGGGGTTGCCATTGTTCATTGACACGTTGCTGAAGTACAGCACCTACTGCTACGTTAGAAGCGTCGGTCATTATTGCTAAAGGTGCATCAACCTTTCGTCGTGCGAGTAATGCCTCTGTGCTTAAAGCGCTTTTCAACTGATCAAATGCTTGAATTGCTTGCGGTGTCATTGCTAATGATTTAGCTCGTCCCCTTAATAAATCAGTTAGTGGTTTTGCTAAGTCTGCACATTTAGGGATAAAACGTCTGTAAAAGTTGATCATCCCAAGGAAACGTCGTAGTTTCTTGAATGAATCAGGCAAAGGATAATTTTTGATAGCTTGTGTTTCCTCAGGAACTGGTTTAATGCCTTGCTTATCAAGTACGTGACCTAAAAAGGTGAGGGATTGTTTTCCGAACTCACATTTGTCAGGATTGACCGCTAACCCATACTCGTTTAGCTTCTCAAAAAGCATTTTCAGATGAGTTAGATGTTCATTTTCATCTTTGCTTGCTATAAGTAGGTCATCTATGTAAGCATACACAAACGGTAAGCCCCGTACCACTTGGTCAATAAAACGCTGGAAACTTTGTGCAGCATTCCTTAATCCGAAAGGCATGCGGACGAATTCGTATAGTCCAAAGGGGGTAGTAATGGCTGTTTTAGGAACATCGTCTGGATGAATTGGAATGTGATGGTAAGCACGGACGAGATCAATTTTTGAAAAGATCGACACGTCAGATAGGCTATGAGTGAAGTCATGCAGATGTGGGAGAGGATATCTATCTGGTATGGTCCGGCTGTTGAGAGCTCTATAGTCACCGCACGGTCTAACTTCGGAAGAGTTTTTCTTAGGTACCATATGAAGCGGTGATGCCCACGGACTATCGGAGGGGCGTATGATACCCAACTCAATCATTTTGTTGAATTCGTTCTTTGCGATAGCCAGACGAGAGGGATCAAGGCGTCTTGGACGTGCGAACACAGGTGGACCCTCTGTCTTTATGTGGTGTACGACGGTATGAGTCGGTTTGTCGTGTTTGAAACTCGGTCGTAATAAATCTGGAAACTGATTAAGTAAATTGACGTATTTGTCGTTCTCATGATGAGGTTTAACTAATAAATGTATGGAAGTCTCATTTGATATAATTCCTCTAATTTCCTTACTCTGTTCGGCAAGGACAAGTTTCCTATTTCTGACATCTACCAGTATTTTGTGGAATTGCAGAAAATCAATGCCGATTATAGGAACGAGGACGTCCGCTATGATGAAACTCCAGGAAAAATTAGATTTAGGACCGAAATTTAATTGCAACCGCCTTTTGCCGTACGTCTTGATGTCAGACCTGTTTGCAGCTTGTAGTTTTAGTTTGGGGTCAGGTGTGTTTTTCTCGAGTGCAGTAGGTGGTACTACACTAACCTCTGCCCCAGTGTCGACTAAAAACTGTGTGCCGGTTCTTTTGTCTGTAACATATAATAGACGACTGTCTTGAGAGTTGTGGTCAGTGAGTGCAGTCGTCATTAACCTACGGTCTTGACGTTCCTTTTTCTGTGTGCTTGCAAAGTTACAAGGTGGAGTACATTTTCTAGCTTGTTTGCCATATGTTCTATGGTACCAGCAAATGTTGTGTCTAGTAGTGCTTGGACTACGTCGTCTACGGCTTGTGGATGTTCCTCTACGCTTGCTGTGGGAGGCATTCAATAATTGGATCTGCGCTATCTGTTTGGTAAGGGTATCAACTGATCGTCGTAACTCGGCGATCTCGTCAGTTGAGCCTGATTGGATTTGAGATACAAGGTGAGTCTTGGACCGTTCGTAAATTCTGTCGGCTATGTCTGCTAGTCTATCAAAATCAACGTCTTCGTCCCCAATTGCTAGTATCTGTTGAATGTTTTGAGGGAGACGTCTGAGCCACAATTGATATAGTAGACGTTTGTCTACTGTACGATTTCCTAATAAGTTTGTCATGTGGCGTTTTAACTGTGACGGTGTATTGTCACCTAGCTCTACGTTGGCTAAAAGTTGATCAATTGTCTGTTGATCGGTGAGAGATGTGACACGAATGACCTCTCTTTTTAGACAATCGAATGGTGAGTCAGGATCCGGCTTAAAAATGACATCCGGCACTTGTTCAATGACGTCATCTGGCAGCAGTGAATTTGCATAACTAAATTTCGTACTCTGGTTTGTGATTTTGTTTGCAACAAAAAAGCTTTCCAAACGAGCAAACCAGAGTTCAGCCTTTCGTGGATTAAAAGTAGGTAAAGGTACAGAGATGGCACCCACGGAAATAGATTTAGATGAAAGGCTTAACGAATTATCAAGTGCCATGATACGAAAAAGCAATAGTAATAATAAGCTGAGGATTGTAATATACAATATGAAGAGAAATAAAAAATAACAACAAAAAATATATATAAGACTCACCAAAAAGAAAAACTGTCACTTTTGGTTTAAATATGCGAATATACAGCAATAATTCCAAAGGAACAATGTTATGGATGGATTTATTATGACTGTTAATGAATTGTTAATAATTGTAATAGTAATTCCAATGTGAAGTTCTTTAAGATACGCTTGGAGAGTATGCAGCAGAATTCGTAGAGGAATGGTGTGTGTTCTAAAAGCGGTTCACCAATATGTTAAGGCGGCAGCTAACCAATATGTTAAGGGTAATGTCCTTAATATCTGACTCCAAATAATGATATTCCGTAACTGAGTATTTAAGGTAGGCTTAATCTCCTAGTAGAATTACGGATTTACTCGAGATTATTAAGAAGCCTGAACACCAGTTATGGAGATAGTTTATTATTAATGAATAATGATGATCCACAAGCGTATTGTGAGCAAGCACACGATGGGAACAGAGAGAGTGAGTGAGTTTGTTAAAAATCCATATATATTTGAGGGTTAATCGGGTGTAGATAAATTATCGATTATCTGCACGTTGAAACCAATAGGAAAATAGTTTAAAAGTTAATGTACAGACATGCATTCGATCATACACACCGAAATTAACATAGTGAATTAAGAGTCTAAGTTACAATGAATAGACAGATGATACAGTGGCCAAATGGGCTTGCCACAACTTCTTAATGAACGCACTGGGGTAGCCGATCTCGGTCAGTGAGTTCTTAACTATAACGTTTTCAGATTTTACCAAGATATTCTGTAATTGTGTGTTGAAGTACAATCGATTGTTCCCACTTATGTGTTTTTGTTCACTATAATACAAGTTACCTTCCATATTAAAAACAATTATATAACCATTAATTCTAGAAAACCCCCAAATGCCGTGGTACGGCCGAGAGTGGGGAGAGTCCGCTCTCCCTCTCCAAGTGCTGTCACATGACCACGCGTATATAACCTCTGCCAGGCAAGTCCTACTCACTTCTTTCACCTGATATTACTATTGCTTACGAAACTGAGAGGACGAAAAGCGAATGTCCGGTGCTTTAACCGGGTTAGTGGATATGGAGAGTCCACATAAGGGAGTTGGAAAACCCTCATTCCAAACCAATGGTGCACATGGGCTCCAGTATCCTGAATGAACAAATCGTTGGTCACCGGTTAACATGGGACTGCATCTCCTCACGATGCTCCATTGCCTTGTGGATCAGACCTTTAGGTCGAAGGCTCCGTGTGTGACCCCTTAAGAAAACCGCCTGCTTCGGTTAGGGCACCCGGGCAGTATCACAGCCCTCACACATATCAAATGAGATTTGTGTGGCGCATATGTATTTGGTGTCTCCTTGTACCAATATCTATGTGTTCAAATAAATAATAAATTCTAGAAAACCAAAACAGAAAAAGAAACAGTTTACAACATAAATAACTTACAAAACCAATAGTTGATAAGAATGCTTCAACAATTCCAGCATTAAACGCTGCAATATTCAATGGAGCAGCTAAAATTTATTGAATAAAATATAATTAATTAATTAATTAAAAAGAAAAAGTGATGTGTGTGTGAGAATGATAATGACTGATTGTTTGCTTAGTCAGACAATGTAGATAGTCTGACAAGTGTCAGATGAGTTATATATTACCCCTATCCTTATTATTAATGATTGATTGATTGATTGATTATTGATTGCTGTTGGATTGTGTCGGGTTTTTGGTGTGGAAATATATTGACATTCTAGTCAGGCTAATCATATGTTCTTGATCATCTATCTGAGGTGTATTGAAGTCTTGTAGAATAAATACACTGAGATTGAGGGGGGGGGTGAAAATCTAGTGTAGATATACATCTAAGATAAACGTGTAAAGACTTCACTTCTATCTGAAGTTTTTGCTGATGATGATGTTGTTCAGGAGAAGAACGCTGAAAGCTCCACGACAAAACCATCCAGCTCAAACAACAAAATTCCATCAAAATAATAAAGCCTTAACTGTAAATAACAACATTAGACGTAATCAAAACACCGATTGTTATCATAAAATAGAGAAGAACAAGAACAAGAACAAGAAATAGAAACTTACATGTTTTACGTTTTTCATCTTTTTCTTCATAAGTAAATCGAGTAAAACGATTCACTATTGGTTCATGTTCAATCATATAAACTATTAAAAAAAAAATGAGTTAAATATAGTTGAAAATTCATTTTACAAATATTCTCATCCATTCCATCACGTTCTAATTCATCAGCTTCTTTATTGAATAAATTTTTCCAAAAATTTGATTTTAAAAAAATTAAGGCATTATATAAACGTATATCACGTTTAGTTGATTTATCACGTAGATAAACTACATCAATCATACGTTCACCAACGAATTTACCAAAATCTGATAATCTATTAAAAGGAAAAGAAAAAAAAGAAAAATTAGCACTATTGATTAGTGTTTATTTTCTATGGGATAGGGGAGGGGGTCGGTGATCTCATACCCCAACCCACCTCTTTGACCCGGGTTACGAATTGGGGCAGTAATTCTAGAAGAGCTACATAAGTAGAGTTATAAATAGGAATACTGGATGGTGTTTGTTATTTCATAAGGTTGTTTTCTACGGGATGGAGTGCAAACCTTATGCCCAACCCTACTCCTTTACTAGGGCTTGGCAATGGGGCTAAACGGGTGGAGTTATAATTAAAAAAGAGTAGGACTATAGAAATTGTTAATGATCTGGTGGTACAGTTGATAATGGAGAGAAACTAATCGAAATGTTCTCATATCGGTTAGTGGTTAATTTATTATAACACATAGATATTGGTGCAAGGAGGCACCAAATACATATGCGCCACACAGATCTCATTTGATATGTGTGAGGGCTGTGATACTGACCGGGTGCCCTAACCGAAGCAGGTAGTTTTCTTAATGGGCCACACCTGGAGCCTTCGACCTGAACGTCTGGTCCAAGCATCGTGAGGAGATGCAGTCCCATGGTAGCCGGTGAGCAACGATTGGTTTGTACGTCGTTTCTTCCCTCAAGATCCTGCAGCTTATGTTCACCATTGATTTGGAATGAGGGTTGTCCAACTCCCTTAGGTGGACTTTCCATGTCCACCAACCCGGTTAAAGCGCCTGGTATTCGCTTTTCGTCCTCTCACTTTCGTAAAGAAAATTCACCTAAAGGTATTGGGAAACCCTGATTTCAAACTAATGATGCACATGGGTTATAGGATCTTGAGCGAACAAATGGGGTATGAACTTATTGTTGGTCACCGGCTAACATTGGATTGCATTTCATAGCGCTGCTCTACTGTCTTGTGGATTAGACCTCTAGGTCAAAGGCCCGCAGCGTGTCTCCCCAAGAAAACCATCTATTTCGGCTTGGACCCACGGGAGGTATTTCAGCCCATAGATATTGAATAATAACTATTTATGCGGTGAATAGAAATCTAGGTGCCCCTTTCCACCAATGTTTATTTGCCTAAATAAATAAAAAAGTTTAGTAAGAGACTGTATGATGAATGCTAGTGATGTTGTCAGAAATAAGTATTATGTATCATTAATTGAAAGTAGAAAGCCTGGCGACAGAAGGTTGAAAAAATCAAAGAAAACGAGAACAGAGAGTGATTGGTATGAAAACGAAGGAGCAACAAAGTCTAAGACAACTGACGGACATTTTGAAAATGAATTATTACTGTATGTTTTTCAGATTTTACCAAGATATTCTGTAATAGTTGTCCCTACCTGTGATCTCGTTCACAACAACTGTGTAGTAAGTTGGATAACACATGTATCTGAAAGTGTTTTGGCACTTGGGGAGCCCCTCCCTGAGGCTACCACCGATCCCAAGCCCGGATAAAAGAGGAGAGTTGGACATGGGGTTAGCGACCTCATCCCCTAGGAAACTAACTCACTAACCACAAACAAATTATATTTAACCTCCAAATATTAATGGATAATCTCATTATAATTGGAATTTTTCATGTCTTTAGTATAAATTATTCACGTTACACAAGAAAAACTCACCTTTTCTGAACAAGATCCATACTGGATACATTACGCATTGAATATTTGACTAACTCCACAAATAAATAAGCAAAAGATGCTATATTAACCTAAGAAAATTTATATAGTATAAGAAAATTACAACTTACATCACCACGTAGTTTAGTCAGACTTTTTTCTAAAATTGCAGCAGAGTTTTTTGGATTACCATAGTTCATATTGACAAATCTAAAAAACAACATGGAAAAAATCGATAGATACAGAGTAATTATGTACAACAACCATTGCCAGGGAAGTCCTATTCACTGTCTTCTCGCGGCATTACTATTGTTTACGAAATTGAGAGGGTGGAAAGCGAATGTCCGACACTCTAACCAGCTTGGTAGACATGAAGGGTTCACCTAGGGGAGTCGGAAAACCATCATTTCAAATTAATGGTGTACATAGGCTCCATGAACCTGAAGGGACAAATGGCGTATGAACAAATCGTTGGTCACCTTTTACCACATAACAACATCTCCTTACGTTGCCCCACTGCCTTGTGGATTAGACTTTTAGGTCTAAGGCTTCGGATGTGTCCCCCTAAGGAAACCATCTGCTTCGGTTCGGGCACCCGGGCAATATCCCAGCCCTTACATGAATCGAATGATTTATGTGGCGCATAACTAGTTTGGTGCCTCCTTGTACCAATGTTCATGTGTTTAAAAATAAATAAATAAAAAACAAACGATTACCCAAGTCTGTAACACGATAATAAATGACAGAGTCGATATGTTACAGAGATTATTTTTTACCAGAAATTAACAAAGTTGACACAATAACAGACTGTAAAGATGGTCACGAAGAAGATTGCAAGGTAAAAGCCGGTTGTTTGTAGTAGACGCTTAATCCCCTTCATTTGCTAGTAATATCAAACACATACCAGGAGATTTAGTTGGATAGGTCTTTCCTGCTTTGTGTTTAACACTCCACTCCCTAATCTCAGGTCGTGCACCCCACAAACGCCTTATCAACTCAGGAGTGATGGGATGGAAAAACTCTTTTCCATGCACTATTACTCGAATTTGTCAAGACGTTCGATACTATGAGATCGTTTACTTTTGTCTAATAATAATATCTGCCAAAATCTATTAATTGACAGTATCTCAGGCAAAAGTTTTGTTCTCTTATACTTCTGCGGGGGTATCATAGGAAAAATTCACAAGTGGAACGGATCAAATGAAATGAAGAGCACTTTATCACATGCAATCGCCTTTTCTTTCAAAAAGAAAACTCCACCAAAATCATCCACCTGAGCTACAAATCTTCTCCACTATCTCGAAAACAACAACTATGCGATCCTAAATTCACAGACATACACACGTCATTATTGAATAAGTAGTCAAAAAAAGAATCAAACAATTACTTCTGAATAGATGTATTATTCGAAATAGAACAAAAATCAAATGTATATACATAGTCAATTTATCACAACATTTCATTGACATATAAAATCAAGTAAGAGAAAACCTCTTGTATAGATCCAAATCTGTAAATTTCCACGCGGAACAGATTCCAGCTATTATAAGTATCATATAACCCATGTAAAATGCCTATAATAGTAAGAAAAATAAGATTGATAATAAAATGAAAACATGTTTATCTATACATGTATATATGAATATAGAGATGAAGATTATATCATTCGTCGAAATCCCTTGTTTCAGATCAGTTGCCACTACCTTTTTTCGTTACGCCTGTTAATCCTCGTGGAGCATAGGCCGCCAAGTAGAATTCTCCAACCAACTCTATAATCCAATCTCCTTCCCAGTTGTTGCCAAGTGTTATTCATTGTTTCAATATCTGTATCCTACTCCAACAAGCCCAACGTCTTCTTCGGTCTGCATTTTTCATGTTAGGGCGTGCACCGTGATGAAGTTCCATGTATTTCCTACCCGCCTTCAGCGTTTCTTCCTAATTTTCTCTTCAGCTGGAAGCCGATTTGTTCTCCCCACATTAGGTTGTTGCTAGTGATAACCAGTTAACAAACATTGAGTATCTTGTGTAGACAATTGTTTATAAATACTTGACTTTCGTACTTGACGTTAATATTAAAGATTCTGATTTTGATATTGGTTAAAATTTGTTTTGAGTTCCATATGCTCTTCAACTGTAAGAATGTTGCCTTTGATTTGCCAATACTTGCCTTCACGTCTGCATCAGATCCTCATTGTTCATCGATGATACTGACCAGGTACGTGAAAGTTTCCACATCTTCCAGAGTTTCTCCATCAAGGGTGATTGAGTTGGTTTTCTCCGCGTTGTATTTAAGGAACTTGGTTTTTCTAGTGTGTATGTTGAGGCCGACTGTTGTAGAGACTGTTGTTACATTCGCTGTCTTTACCTGTGTAAAGGATAGAAGAGCTAGATCATTTGCGAAGTCCGAATCTTCTAGCTGCATATAAGCTATCCATTGCATTCCGTGCTTCCCTTCAGTTGCGGAGGTCTTCATAATCCAGTCGACCAGCAGAAGAAAGAAGAATCGGAGTAAGCAGCTTTGTCTGACACCAGACCCTACTTGGGATGCATCTGTCAGCTGTCCTCCATGCACCACTTTGCAGTGTAGTTCACCGTAAGAAGTCAGTGTGAGGTACACCATAGTATCGAAAAAGGTTCATATATCCACACTGTCAAACGCCTACTCATAATCAAGGAGGTTGATATACAGTGATGAGTTCCACTCAATAAATGGTTCAACAATGATACGTAGTATCGCGATCTGTAAGCCAGAATAAACAGTGGCCAATTTTATAAGCCATGCTTAATAGCCATATACTGATGAAGAAAAAACAGTTCCCAAGTGCACTCACCCATTGACTGGCAGACGGACATTCCATCTGTACTACAGGTAGCACAATTTTGGAAGGGTATATCAAGTTTTCTGTATATATGTTAGTGTTTTGTTAAGTACGGACCCAATAGATAAGTTGAGGCTTCAACTACAAGTGAGGTAGTCAACGCACTGATACAGACTAGATCTAAAACAACATTTTGTATTTAAAGGATGAGAAACTCATCCCAAACATTCTTGTATGATTTCTTTAGGCATAAGGTATATATAATAAACTGAACTCAGTTTCCTATGCGCTTTTTGCGAGTAATACATAGATTTCTGTAGTGACAAATGAATGTGAATCTTTGTGAAATGGTGAACAATATGCAGTTGGTTATAGCCTTCCCTCTTTCAAGACTGAAAGTTCTGCATCCAATTCCCGCGTGTGAGATTTCGGACACATACCACAGCCACTGAGGAATCCCATACTAGAATAGAACGATCATTCCATGCATCTAGGTTTTAAATAGTGGTCTACTTAGATCGGCTTATAAATTCATACGCATCTATCAAACAATGTACATTGTATGATTTACTAATACTATGCCCCTAAATGTCCTAGTACGGCCGAGGGTCGACAGAGCTCTCTCCAAAGGCTCTCATATGGCCATCCGTATACAGCCACTATCAGGGAAGTCCTACCGACGGATGGATTTTCTTACGAAATTGAGAGGACGAAAAGCGAATGTCCGACGCTTTTAACCAGGTTAGTGGATACAGAGAGTTCACCTGAATTAGTGGTGTACATGGACTCCAGGATTCTGAGGGAACGAATAGAGTATGAACCAATTGTCGGTCACCGGCTACCATGGGACTGCATCTCCTTACGTTGCTCTACTACCTTGTGAATTATACCTCTAGGTCAAAGTCTCGAGGAGTGACCCAGATGTTCCGGTTTGGACACTCAGGCAATATTTCAATCCTCACACATATCATCAAGTGACTTGTGTATTGCATAGGTATTTGATGCCTTCTTGCACTCACATTATAAAATAAAATATACATATATTATATGATATTCAAAACAAATTTACTAACCAATGTTTTATCACTTCGTAATGAATTAATCAACGTATATATACTAAATTGATTTGGTTTTACCATAGTAGTATAATTTATTTTAGATAATTGAATTGAATTTTGTATTAATAAAGGTAAAGATGATAAATTGAAATTATTATCTGGGAAAACAATAGAATCCAATGGTCCAGAATCAATAATGATACCACGCATAAAAAATTTATCACATTCTATAATACGTACAAGTACTATACGACCATAAACATCCGGATCTTTTGGTAATAAAATCTATGAAAATAAGCATAGAAATTGGAATAATAATTAAACAAATGTAAGTATTATTAGGAAAGTTATAATTTTGGAATAGTTATTTCACACCACCCCACCCCAAAGAAAAACCCAACCGTTGTTGCTACCTTGACGTGGTGGTTGGGCTTGCCTATCATGATGAAGCAACCGAGCTATACTGGCTGGAACAACCGTTCCTCAAGGTCTTACCATGTCAGACAGGTCGGTTGAAGAGCAGTAAGATTTAAAGCAACAAACCCAAGGTCCGAAGGCGAAGTCGTACTGCTGACTGTAAAGAGGTATGACAGCAGTAAGGTATTTCCTTCAGACAACCAGCATGATAGCGATACTGCCTTCCCACAAGGAGGGTGGGGTTAGAAAAGTTCGACCCTAAAAATGTACAATTCGGCTTATCCCATGGATATCCGTCTCCGGCGGTAAGGTCTCAACAAGTACGGAGCTAACACGAAAATTACTCACACAAAGATGGTGTGTGACTGACCTCAAGCAGTTGTCCCTTGGGCACTGCGGTCACGCTCCAAGGTCACTAGGACCACCTCTAATCCAATTTCCTTTACAGGTCCGTCCCTCCTCCTCCTCCTCAAAGAAAAAAAGAAACAAAATATATGATGTATGGACGAGAATGATAATGATTAGTTGTCTTTCTAGTCAGACAATGTAGATAGTCTGTGTTGGAGACGTCAGATCCTCAGAACTCACTTGGGAAAGGACCTAGTTTTGTAATTTTATTTAGAAAATTTGAATTTCTTTGTTTCCGCGCCAAAGGCGCTCTTGTCACCTTCATGTCGTATTTCCCACTGAGAAATGTCTTAAATGCTATTGGTCCGTTTCATCTTTTAGTATGCTATTCGGTAACTTCCCCCAAGGACGGTTCTGCACTGTATATATACATTTTGAATTGTGTTTGTTGTTATCACTCGTTTCTGGCTGTTTTGTAGAATATACTTCCCATTCCAAGCTCTGACTTCTCCCTCTAGTTAGCGGGGCTGAGACGCATCAATAGCTTACTGGTCTTTGGTCACCGAGTCATGTTCTCGTTCGCAGATTAAGTGAACTCGTGATAGCTTCAAACATAGCAGTCTGACAGGTGTCAGATGAGTTATATATTACCCCTATTCTTATTATTATTGATTGATTGGTTATTGATTACTGTTGGATTGTACCGGTTTTTTTGGTAGAAATATATTGACATTCTAGTCAGGCTAATTACGTGTTCTTGATCATCTATTTGAGTTATATTGAAGTCCTATCGAATAGACACACTGGGATTGGGAGGTGGGTGGTTGAAAATCTAGTGTAGATATTTGTTTAAGGTAAATTAACGTGCCATACGTGTAAACGTGGGAAGCTCAACTGTTATAACAATGTCAATCCTAATTCAACGACATTATTTGTATCAGAAAGGTTTTGTGGATATTATAGTAATTTTAATGGTTCAGATCACGAGTCAATTGATGCTAGACCACCATGGAAAACCTGGTAGCACTGAACGGCCATTTCGTTCTATTGCGGGACTCCTCAACAGTATGCATCCACGACCTCGCCTCGACATATGCGAACCCAGGACTTATCAGTCTCGCGCACGAGACTGTGGAAGAAAACATCACATAAAACACATTCCTTTGTTAAATCCCTAAATAATACGAATTAAGCTATTAAGGTTAGTGAAGAAAAAAAACCTAAGAAATGAATAACAATTTATTTCGTGTTGTTTACAAAAATAACACATGGAAGATAATAAACCTCATTAAGTAAATCAACCACTGCAAAGACTGCAAGGATAGAATGACCATACTAATATCGGGTGTCGCCGGCTTTAGCCCCCACGTGCCCTGGTACAACTGAGAGTGGGGAGAGTCAGCTCTCCCTCTGCAAATGCTCTCACATGGCTACGCGTATATAGCCTCTGCTAGAGAAGTTCCACTCACATCCTTCTCGTGGCGTTACTGTTGTTTACGAAATTGAGGGGACGAAAAGCGAACGTACGACGTTTTACCCGGGTTGGTGGACATGGAGAGTCTATCTAAGGGAGTTGGAAAACCCCCATTCCAAACCAATGGTGCACATGGACTCCAGTATCCTGAAGGAACAAATGGCATATGAACCAATTGTCGATCACTGGCTACCATGGGACTGCATGTCCTTACGATGCTCCATTGCCTCGTGGATCAGACCTTCAGGTCGAAAGCTCCGGGTGTGACCCCCTAAGAAAACCACCTGTTTCGGTTTGGGCACCCGGACAGTTTCACAGCCCTCATGCATATCAAATGAGATCGATGTGGCGCATATGTATTTCGTGCCTCCTTGTACCAATATCTATGTGTTAAAATAAATATCTAGAGAATCAGTGACAAAAATCCAACTTGAACAAAATAACGAAGTTGAAATCAATTTCTTCAGTAATCGAACACAAACAGTTTGTTATATAATATGCTCCTAGAGCTAAATGTTATAGACTAAGACATTTTACATATTGGAGCAATAAAACATTGATATAATTGTGATATCTCAGCGATGAGTAGAAATCTGTATTTCTGATGTCTTATCCTTTAGTATAAGTCAATTCTTCAAAGTAAATAAATGAATAACCGAATTAGATCAACGCACATTTGAACAGTATAGAGGGACAGTGTACAGAATATTTCGTTTGATCACATTTTTACTTATTTATTTATTTGAACACATAAATAGTGGTACAAAAGGGAACCGAATACATATGTGCCCCATAAGTCACTTCATTTGTGTGTGCGCTGCGATACAATCTGTGTGCCCAAACTGAAACAGGTGGTTTTCATAGGGAGCTACTTCCCGAGCCTTCGACCTAACGGTCTAATCCACAAGACAGTGGAGTGACGTTTGGAGAGGGAGTCCCATGGTAACCGGTGACCCATAATTGATTCATAAGCCATTTGTTCCCTGGGGATCCTAGAACCCTTGAGCACCAATGGTTTGGAATGAGGTTTTTCAAACTCCCCTAGATGGATCCTCTGTATCCATTAACCCGGTTAAAGCGTCGGACATACGATGTTCGCTCTCTCAATTTCCTAAATAACGCGCTCATCGCGATAAGTGCAATTTCATTACTAATCATACATACTGAGATAACTGATTACCAATATGCTGAAGCATCATGTAATAATGATAATTCACCTAATTTTCATATACGAGTCAATCTAAGCTAGAACAACATTAAACACGTGAAAGCACTAGACGGTTGTTTCGTCCCAGTAACGGAATTCTCAGCAGTGCGCATCCACGATCCCGCACGCGAACGTGGGTTCCAATCTGTGTCGGGTGTGAGACAGTTATCCACCTCAGACAATAGATGAAGGGTTGAGCACAATTCAGTACCGCTGAATGGAAAGAGAACTTTAGGCCTATTTTTTGTCCTCACGAGTCAGACGAATATAGGCAATGAAATCAAACAGACACTTTGGATTCGAGTCCCGCGTACGGGATCGTGGATGCACATTGCTTAGGAGGTTGATACTAGGACGAAACGGTCGTCTTGTTCTTTCAGGTTTTTAATGGTGGTCTATCTTAGAATGACCCGTGAATTCAACTTTGAAAATATTCAATATTAATAAAAAAAATAGTTTTAAAATGAGTTGACCTGATACATCAAGAACCATGAAAACCTCATGGAACATATTGATCTTTCTTGATGATAAAATGACAAAAAAATATCCATACAAAAAGCAACAAACAATATAGGTATGTTGATAATTTGCATTAATAATTTACACATACTTGTTCATAAGCTTTTGTATGACCAACCCAAAATTTACCATCAAAACTCGGTTCAGTAATAAGAACACGAACTTCACAACCGATACGACCATCATAAGTTCGATAACTTCTGAAAAGATCGTGTAATCTACGTGTACGAGATTTTACTTCGGAAGAACTAGCTTTTCTATAAATAAAGAAAAACAATAATAGAATATCGTAAAAACAATATTTGAATCTTATAAATTGTTTGACTATCTTCACTAACATTACAATCAACTATGTTCTTACTTAAAAATAAACATATAATACATTCTGCATTGATTTTGGTCACTGTATGAACGAGGTGTCACAGAAGTTGAGCGTCATGTATACAGAAGATATTGGAAGCAAAAATACTTTTTTCAGTATAGGATTTTGTGAAAGTTGTAGAATTGATCATAGTTCAAATTACGAAACAAACTAAGCAAGATAACCATTGAAAACCATGAAGCACTGGTCAGTCAGTCAGTCAGTAACAACATAGAACTTCGTACGTACGTACATCAGTTCGAGTTGCCACACCACATTAGCACAGAGATGCAGTGGTCGATTCAAATCCCGTAGTGCTAGATGTAGTAAAATTATAAGCTGTAATCAGAAACATTAGGGTTTGAAGATGCTATTCAAGGAGTATAATCCAGTGAAATAAATTTGGAAAGAGAAAAAAGAAAGGGACATGAAGGATTCAGAAGATTAGAATTTGAGAGAACACAAAGAGTGGATGCGCCTGCGCCATTACAAACGATTTTGAGCCATGTCATTCAGGGTCTCTAACCATCGGTTGCTATCATCTCGCGGTCCCCAACCAGGTAGTCTACACCTACCAACATGACAGTCCACTTGTCAATGACTTCATGAATTTGTGCCATGTTTTGGTTTGGCCGCCCCTAACTTTCTTCCAACTTACTCCTACACCATAAAACATCGCCCGTCGGGGCAGTCGGTGGTTGGGCTTAAGTAACATATATCCCAGCTATCTCAACTGATGAAGTTTCATTACTTCATCAATTGATTTGCCATCCTTACCTAGTACCCGTTTCCTAACAACTGCGTTCCTTACTCGATGGTCCCAGGATATACGATCAATGCTTGGAAGACACCTATGATTAAATACTAGTAACCTACGGATATCCTCTACTCTTACCGGCCATGTTTCACTGCCATAAAGAAGGACGGAACGAACTGCTCCGCAGTAAACACGCCTTTTGATTGATAAACGGATATCTCGACTACGCCATAAATGACGCAAGTTGGCAAAAGCTAGTCGAGCCTTCTGTATTCGTGCTGAGATTTCGTCACACACCAGACCACAAGGGCTAATGAGACTTCCAAGATAAGTGAAGTGGTCGACACGCTCAATTACTTCACTCCCTATCATTAGTTCGGGTGTCAATGTAACCCAATCCTGAAGCAACATTTTGCATTTCGAGGGAGAGAATCGCATCCCGAACATGCTTGCATTGTTGCTTAGAGTGGTCAGAAGACTCTGCATTTTGTCAGCGTCTTCACCAAATAAAACTATGTCATCAGCATATTCTAAGTCAACAAGTGGACCTCCTGGTAGAAGTTCAACCCTTGGAAATTTAGACGAGGAAAGCGTTATCACTAAAAGTACGTCAATGACAAAGTTGAACAAGAATGGGGAGAATGGACAGCCCTGACGAACACCACTTGAGGTAATCAATTCCGATGACAGTTCGCCATAAGCTCTCACTCTACCAGTTGTGTTCGAGGAGAGAGCCTTTACAAGGTTAATGTACTTCTTTGGTACTCCTTTCAGTGACAAACACTGCCATAGAACCTCACGATCAACAGAGTCGAGTGCCGCCTTAAGGTCGAGAAATACTACCATTGTGGGGCGTCTGAATGTGTGTCTGTGTTCTAGAACCTGACGTAGTGTGAATATCTGATCTATACAACCACATCCAGGTCGAAAACCAGCCTGATTTTCTCTAGTCTGCTCTTCACAAGCTTTCGTTAGGCGTCGAAGTATTATTGAAGCTAATATTTTAGACACTATATTAGTCAAACTCATTCCTCTGTGATTGTCACAAGAGGACTTTTGTCCTTTCTTATAAACTGGCACAATCAGTGATTGAGACCAGTCAGATGGGATTACGTCCAGTTCCCAAATTCTACCTAAGACCTCAGTTAATCTCACTGCTAATACTGAACCACCATCCTTAAAAATCTCAGGAGTAAACCTGTCAGGGCCTGCTGCTCTCCCTCGCTTCAGATTTCCTATGGCTTTTTCAACTTCGTAAAGGGACGGAGGACCTACATTAACTTGCCATTCAGGTTGACTAGAGATCGTGGGAAACCGAAGTGTGGCTGAAGGCCAGTTGAACTGATCCCTAAAGTGTTCTGCCCATCGATCCAATATCCTGGATTGAGAATGTATAATATGTCCATCTTTCTCTGAGATTGTTTCGCTAGCTGTCGGTTTCCTAATACCGGTTTCCCTAACAAGTCTGAACAATTGTCTGCTATTACCTATTGCCGCTGCCTTTTCCATCTCTCTTGCTTTCGCTACCCACCACTGTTCACGATCATTGCGTAGACTTCTTGTCAGCTTGCGCTTAAGCTGACTCCGCTCTTCATTATGTTCAGAGCCAGGTGGAATGAGTTTCCGAGCATCTATCAGTGAGATAGATGCTGCTGAGATCCAGTGTTGCTCCCTAACCTTGCGATTTACCTCAATAGCAGATATCACTGCTGTTTCCACAGCTTTTCGGATATCATCCCATGATGTCTCGGGGTGGGCATCACATACATGGCTGCCTAACTGTTTTTCTAGTTGTTCCTGAAATATACTCTTAGCTTGACTATCATTAAGTAGTCCCCTAAGAGGTTTCCAAAATGAGCGACAGTCTTCTATCGAGCCCCTCCATCGGTGGCTGATAGCGATGTGATCTATTTGGGTCCAACGTTGGGACGAATTAGGGGGTCGCCATGTTAAAAGATGTTTTTCCTTATGCTTAAAGTTAGTATTTGCAAGGAACAGGCGGTTATCCGAGCATAGCTGCAACAGACGGTCGCCATTATCTGTTCTTTGAGCCACGACACTATAAGATCCACCTAGGTGTCTTTCCCTATCGCTTAGTTTACCTACTTGAGCATTAAAGTCACTGGCCACTATTACTACATCCGAGCGCCTAGCTTTTCGGAGAAGGTCGGAGGGCTTTCTGTAAAACTCATCTTTTACATCATCCGCGCTGCAGTCAGTAGAAGAATAGGCAGAGACGACGAGTGTCCCTATCTTTTCGGATCTTTACTGTTCCGTTCAGTCGGACAACGCACAAATGACTATCTACTGGGATCCACTCTAAGAGAGCTAGTTATGCCCTAGGACTCAATGCTATACCTACGCCGGCGCTGCCACGGGAAGCAGAATCAGGGCTTCCAGATACACGAAGTGTGAATCGAGTCGGTTCTTTATTTTGGCATGGTGAGGTCAAATGTATGACGCTACTCGGATCCTGTATGCGCGTTTCGGAGACGCAGCACACATCGATGGTGCGAGATTCTAAAGTCCTAGCTAAGGAAGCCTGCTGTCCTATTTGGCAAAGTGTTCGTACGTTAAAAGCTCCTACGTGTAGTTTAGAGCGTGGTTTCAGGAGACCAGGAATAGCGTTCCGCGCGCACTGGACAATTGTTCCATCCTGGTATAGGACTCTTGAACAGTGCGAACCAACGACTCGGACACAGGTATCCAAACTATGAAAATTCTACAATCGCGCGACACTCACGCAATGTCGTCAACTGACTGAAGCTATATATATAAACCATTAGGTACCGGCTCAGTGGTTTAGAGGTTGAGCACTCGAGCACAAGAGTGAATGCCCTGAGTCCGATTCCCGGTTGAAAGGTTGTAGATGGGCATATTATGACGAACCAGTTCTACAGTACTCCTAGGCATTTATTGGTATCAAGAGTAAGCTCAATCTGCGGAATAGCACCAGCATTAGTATAATATTTTAAGTGGTGTGTACACAATTCTCTTTGGTTATCTAGTAATGATCGCGGAACAAAGTCGATATTCCGATTGTTGGGGTAACATTCACAACTTAATGATTATCATTCTAACAAAATCACCTTTTGTTGTTTTTACCACTGTTATTTTTGATTCTTTTTCATGATGCACAGAAAATCGGTAGTGTTAGCTGACTAGATTTATCGTTTTTCGTAATTGTTGGAAGGTATGTCCCAACCGAGTTAGTTATATCAAATGGATCGTGTTTTCCAGATCAATAAAATCGTTCCAATGAAAATGATATAGTTGAGAATAATCTTTCAATAAACAATTATTTTCTGTAGGCTAATATTGAATAAATAAAAGGGGGATGAAAATGTCATTATCCTATTTCGTTATTTCATAGCGGTAATTCAAATGAAAAATAGATAGGAATGTGCAATATACCTTAGTACCCCCAAATGTCCTGGTACGGTCAAGAGTGGGGAGAGCCAGCTCCTTCTAGAAATACTCCTACATGGCCACACGTATACATTCACAGCCACGGAAGTCCTACTCAATGCCTTTTCGCGACGATGGGGTGTTGTTAACAAAATTGAGAGGACGAAAAGTGAATGTACGGCGCTATAACCGGGATGGTGGATATGCAACATTTACCTAGAGGAGTTAGAAACCCTCGTTCCAAACCAATGGTGTACATGGACTCCAGGATTCTGAGGGAACGAACGGTGTATGAACCAATTGTTGGTCACCGGCTACCATGGGACTGCATCTCCTGACGTTGCTCCACTGCCTTGTGGATTAGACGCTTAGGTCGAAGGCTCCGGGTTTAGTCCTCTAAGAAACCACCTGGTTAGGTCTGGGCACTCAGGCAGTATTACAGCCCGCATACAAACAATGTGATTTGTGTGGAGCATATGTATTTGGTGCCCTTTTGTATCAATATTTATGTGTTCAAATAAATAATAAATAAATAAAGCTTAACTAGAACAAACGCTGTTTAGCTAAGTGATCAGAGGTATAAAAACGTCGACAAATTACATAGATAATTCGAAGGAAACTTAGAACTGATCAAAGCTGAAATCTCAACGAGAGTAGTAACGAGCTAATCAATCCTGATTGAAATTCAATGACGTGATATTCAGTTGAATGATAGATATACATAATTCACATTGAACTCAATCAACACCGTAGATTAGATGGTATGATAAGTTAGAGAAAATATATATTCTTCAAATAATAAACTGTTATACAATTCACTGAACAGCAGACTTTGAATTAAACCCGCTCCATGAAGATCACATATACTGTGTTGTATGCTACTTATGCCTGTCGACATAAATAGTATGTAACACTAATCAAAAGTTGAATAACTGGCAGCAGAAGGCTAAGATGTACTTAAAGAGGATAGAAAGAGAAATAAAAATGAATCGTGAACTGGAAGAATCATATAGAGTGTGAAGGACAAATGATGGAAGTTTGCAAACGAAGTATTCGGTATATGATTGTCATATTTTACAATGCTACCGAAATGTAAATTCCTGATGCAAAATTTAGTCATTACTAAATAACTGAAATTTGAGTGTGACAATTTACAGGATCACACATTTTCTGGTTATGAACTGGAAGCCTAAAAATCTCAAAGGAACACTTAGAAATGTTTCCAAGCAATAATATTTATGATTGAGATCATGGACCAATTGATGTTGGACCACCATTGAAAGCACTGGAAGACCATTTTGTTCTATTGTGGGACTCCTCAACAGTGCGCATTCACGATCCCGCTCGCGAGATTCGAACCCAGGTCCTTCGGTCTCGCGCGCGAAACGACCGTGCTTCTGTTATATCTTGAAAGTTGATTTCTTGATGTACCGCGTATAACAGAGCACTAGAACACCAAAACCCTTCGAAGTCACAATAATAAGACAGAAGACTGATGAAAGGAATATTATTCCAAACAGTGTCAATCATAGTACAAAATTATCAGGTATTTATAGTTTTTAGTGAGAACGAAATCATCATTACAGTCCTCTAATCCGCATACAGGGGGCTATTAGCAGTATCCAATCGGGAAGCTACACGTAGAAATTCTAGAATATTCTTCCGAAAGATGATTGGATGGAAAGTTTTCGGCTCCTTCTGAGCCTTTTACAGCTTCCTCGAGTTCACCCGTGGTCCGTTGTCACATCTTCCAGGTTTTGAATGGTGTTCCAACGTCATACGGTTCATCATCTCAATCAAAAACATAATAATCTCCACAACCCCATGCTGATAATAATAATATTTATGAAATATAAACAATTAACAGAAAAAATTCCCAATTTTAGAAAATACCTTGGCATATTAGCAGCAGGTGTACCGGGACGTGGAAAGAACTGATTTATATGTAATACAGGAAATTGATACTTTTCAATTAATTCAACAGTTTCATTAAAATCGTTATCCGTTTCAGTTGGGAAACCGCATATCACATCAGTGGCAATTGTAAGCGCCCCAGATCCATTTACAGTATCATGTGCTGCACCAGGAGGTCTAATAATAAACAATGAAGATTAAAGATAACGGAGAAAATCAATGGACAAATAATTAGTAGAATGTAAGTAAACCGTTTTTTTTTAAAATCGGTTCATGATCTTAATTATGACTTGACAATCTCCACAACCTTATACTTACGCGTGTTAACCCTCGTGGAGGAGCATAAGCCGCTCACTAGCATTCTCTATCGACGACCTTATACTGATAACTATAAGTAAGATGAGTTATTAGGGCTTACAACCTCGTTAAAGTGTACATATGAAAAATGTTTAAAACAACTTGGCAAAAGCTGAATATAAAATGTTACATTGATCAGTGTTTTCGACGTAGTACATTCAGATATGAAATACGTTGATTTTTATTAGCTTGATACGATCAACCATCAATTGATTCAAACCAGTAAACGTGTTACATCGTCCAAATCAACAAAAGAGAAAATCCGAAACCAGTAAAACAAAAGTGTTCTATAAATGTGTTATATCTAGAGCTTATATTCTTGATATACCGCGTATAACTTGAGCACTTGAACGCTAGAACCCTTCCAATTCGCAAATAAGAAGACAGAAGACAAGTGAAAGAAATGTTATTCCAGACAGTGTCAAATTATAATACAAAACTGTCAGGTATTTATAGTTTTTTTATAGTAAAACCGAAATCATCATTGTAGTTATCCAATCCGCACATAGGGGTTATTAGCACTGTCCAATCGGGAAGCTACCGTCTTCACAAAATGCAACAAAATTTCAACCTGATAATCCAATTTAATCCAATTTAACTCCGCCTGTAGCTCTTCTAGAGTTACTGCCGGTCCCAAGCCCGGGTAAAGGAGGAGGGTTGGGCATGGGGTTAGCGTCCCCATCCCGTAGAAAACTAACTCGCTAAAAAAACGCTTACCAGAAAAAATAATTCAAACCATTTTAACTCTGCCCTGAGAGTTAGAAGGTCTTCATTTAGAAGAATTATGACGCTTCATGGTGAAAGCCGAGTTCCTTCGGAAGCCACGAGGCCGATGCCCCTTCTAACAACCAGAGCAAAAATTTTTATAGGTACATGGAACGTTAGAACAATGTGGGAAACCGGGAAGACCAGCCAAATAGCAACGGAAATGAGGAGATACAACTTGGCAGTACTGGGAATCAGCGAAACCCACTGGACCCAAGCTGGACAGAAAAGGCTAGCTACGGGAGAGATGCTGCTATACTCCGGTCACGAAGAGGAAAATGCTCCACACACTCAGGGAGTTGCTCTAATGCTGTCCAAAGTAGCACGAAATGCACTTGTAGGATGGGAATCCCACGGATCCAGAATCATCAAAGCATCATTCAAAACAAAGAAGGAGGGGATCTTAATGAATATTATCCAATGTTATGCACCCACCAATGATAGCAACGACGACATTAAAGAACAATTCTACGAGCGGCTGCAGTCAATCATAGAGAAATGCTCAAGAAAGGACCTCACCATTCTGATGGGAGATCTAAATGCCAAGGTCGGAACAGACAACACTGGATATGAAGATATTATGGGACGACATGGACTGGGAGAGAGGAACGAAAATGGAGAAAGATTTGCAAATTTGTGTGCATTCAACAAATTAGTCATAGGAGGCACAATATTTCCACACAAACGTATACACAAGGCTACATGGATCTCACTGGACCACACTACAGAGAACCAGATAGACCATATTTGCATCAACAAAAAATTCCGAAGGACAATGGAAGATGTGAGAACCAGGAGAGGAGCTGACGTAGCTTCAGATCACCACCTAGTTGTAGCCAATTTAAAACTGAAGCTAAAAAAGAACTGGACAAGTGGACAAACAGCACTACAAAGGTTCAATACAGCCTTCCTTCGAGATACTGACAAACTCAATGAATTCAAGATAGCTCTCAACAACAGGTTCCAAGCCTTTCAAGATCTACTGAAGGAAGAAGAAACTACCATGGAGGACAACTGGAAAGGCATCAAAGAAACATTGACTTCAACGTGTCAAGAGGTTCTGGGCCTAAAGAAACACCATCATAAGGAATGGATCTCTATAGAAACACTGGACAAGATCAAAGAAAGGAAGAACAAGAAGACAGCAATTAACAACAGCCGAACACGAGCAGAGAAAGTCCAAGCACAAGCTGAATACATAGAAGCAAACAAGCAAGTGAAGAGGAGCATTAGAGCCGACAGGAAGAAATACGTGGAAGAATTAGCAACGACGGCAGAAAAAGCTGCTAGAGAAGGAAATATGAAACAGCTTTACGATACAACGAAGAAACTATCAGGGAAATACAGTAAACCAGAGAGGCCGGTCAAAGACAAAGAAGGCAAGCCAATCACTGAAATTCAACAACAGCGAAACAGATGGGTAGAATACTTCGAGGAACTCCTGAATAGGCCGGCTCCAATGAATCCACCGAACATCGAAGCAGCACACACAGATCTTCCTATAGATGTCAACCCACCAACGACGGAAGAAATTAGAATGGCCGTCAGACAAATCAAGAACGGGAAAGCAGCAGGACCCGACAACATACCAGCTGAAGCACTGAAATCAGACGTCGAAGTAACCACAAGCATGCTTTACCCTCTATTCAAAAAGATTTGGGAGGAGGAACAAGTGCCAATGGACTGGAAAGAAGGACACCTCATCAAGATTCCAAAGAAAGGAGATCTGAGCAAATGTGAAAACTACAGAGGCATCACACTACTGTCAATACCAGGGAAAGTCTTCAACAGAGTGTTGCTGAACCGGATGAAGGATGCAGTAGATGCCCAACTTCGAGATCAACAAGCTGGATTCCGTAAGGATCGGTCGTGCACAGACCAAATTGCAACACTACGGATCATCGTCGAACAATCAGTTGAGTGGAACTCGTCACTGTACATCAACTTCATTGATTATGAAAAGGCATTCGACAGTGTAGATAGGAGGACATTATGGAAACTTCTTCGACATTACGGAGTTCCTGAGAAGATTGTCAATATTATCCGGAACTCATACGACGGACTACAGTGCAAAGTAGTGCATGGAGGACAGCTGACAGATGCATTCCAAGTAAGGACCGGAGTCAGACAAGGCTGTTTACTCTCTCCCTTCCTCTTTCTTCTGGTGGTCGACTGGATTATGAAGACCTCGACATCTGAAGGAAAACACGGAATACAATGGACAGCTCAGAACCAATTAGACGATCTGGACTTCGCAGATGACCTAGCCCTCCTATCACGTACACACGAACAGATGCAGATGAAGACAGCCAGTGTAGCAGCAGTCTCTGCATCAGTAGGCCTCAGCATACACAAAGGGAAAACGAAGGTCCTCAAATTCAAAGCGGAGAACAGCAATCCAACCACTCTTGATGGCGAAACTCTGGAAGATGTAGAATCCTTCACATATCTGGGAAGCATCGTCGATAGACATGGAGGTTCAGATGCAGACGTAAAGGCGAGGATTGGCAAAGCAAGGGCCGCATTCCTACAATTGAAGAACATATGGAACTCAAAACAACTTTCAACCAATATCAAAGTGAGAATCTTCAATACGAACGTCAAGGCAATTCTACTGTATGGAGCTGAAACTTGGAGAACTACAACAACCACAATCAAGAAAGTACAAGTATTTATAAATAGCTGTCTACGCAAGATACTCAACATCCATTGGCCGGATACCATCAGCAATAGCCTTCTGTGGGGGAGAATAAACCAACTTCCAGCTGAAGAGGAAATTAGGAAAAGACGATGGAAATGGATAGGACATACATTACGCAAATCGTCAAACTGCATCACGAGGCAAGCCCTAACTTGGAATCCTGAAGGGAAGCGGAAAAGAGGAAGGCCAAAGAACACATTACGTCGGATAATAGAAGCAGATATGAAAAGGATGAATTACAACTGGAAGGAGCTGGAAAGTATTGCCCAGGACAGGGTTGGATGGAGAATGCTGGTGAGCGACCTATGCTCCTTCACGAGGAGTAACAGGTGTAAGTAAGTAAGTAATCCAATTTGGAATGATTTGAATTATCTCATTGTTGATTTTTATTTTTTTCTCTTTCTCATCAATATTACGATGAGACTAGTCACGTTATATCCGAACCAGGATGGACGACCCAGACTAAAGAACACGATTAACATTAGATAATACATTGTTCAATATAATTACAAGTAATACGCCATTTGTTCTCAAAGGATACTGGAGCCCATGAGCACCATTGGTTTGGAAACACGGTTTACCAACTCGCCTAAATGGACTTTTCGTGTCCACCAACCTGTTAAAGTGCCGAACATTCGCTTTTCGTCCTCTCGATTTCGTAAACAATAGTAATGCCACGAGAAGGCAGTGAGTAGGACTTCCCTGGCAGTGGTTGTATGCACATGGTTATGTGAGAGCATTTCGAGAGGGAGAGTTAACTTTCCCCACTCTCGGCCATACTAGGGGATTTGTGGGTCTATAAACGGACAAATCTTAATACATATCGATTAAAATCGGTACCATTAAACGAAGAGACTAGTAAAAAGATGACGATTAACAAGGACCTACAAAAACTTTATTTGCTTGCTTTTTTTAATAATATGATCAATAAGCAAATGATAACTTACAAATTTGGCGGTTTCACATTTTGCATAAGATAATCTACAACACTTGAGAATTCTTCTATAGTATACTCCCTTTTCATTGCGTCTAATACAGCATCTGAACCTGTGACAAAACAACAACAAAAATACAAGAAAATTGATGTCCTTCAAACTATAACTTCTACCACTATTTGTAAAGTAGTCTTGAATATGTTCACCTTAATTAATCCAGGCAATATATAATTCTAACTTTCAAAATACGAAGATAAATGTGATAAAATGCTAAAGACCTTAATTAATTATTAATTATTTCAACACATAAGTATTGGTACAAGGGGACACCAGATACATATGCGCCACACAAATCTCATTTGATTCGTATGAAGGCTCTGATACTGCCCGGATGCCCAAACCGAAGCAGGACCTCAAACGACTTATCGATATCAATAAGAAAATAATGCTTAGTTACAAAATAATTAGTAATAAAAAGAAGTAAACTTACAGTGAAACAATGATTTGGATTTAATGAATTCACGTGAACACATTGAACTATTCAAGTTAGCACTGTGAGTTTTAGTCAAAAACCTATAGGATTTTTGTCACTAATTGACATCAACTATAATGCAATGATGCTTGCCCATCATTTGATTTACTTAGCGGTTGATATTTTTTAGTCAGAATTTAAAGTGAGAGAAAACTGCGTAGCTACAAAAACAACTTTGACTATGCAGCGAATTTCATGAACAATTTCAACACAAAATCGGTCCTGGCATGGCCGACAGTGGGGAGAGTTCCGCTCTCCCTCTCCAAATGCTCTCGCATGGCCACGCGTATATAACCTCTCTCAGGGAAGTCCTACTCACTGCCTTCTCGCACCACGGGTGTTGTTTACGAAAATAAGAGGACGAAAAGCGAATATCCGGCGCTTTAAGCGGATTCCAAACCAAATCAATGGTGCACATGGGCTTTAGGATTCCGAGGGAAAAAATGACGTATGAACCAATTGTTGGTCACCGGCTACCATGGGACTGCATCTACTCACGATGCTCCACTGCCTTGTGGATCAGACCTTTAGGTCAAAGGTTCGGGGTGTGGCCCCCTAAGAAAACCACCTGCTTCGGTTTGGGTACCTGGGCAGTATCACAGCCCTCACACATATCGAGATTTGTGTGGCGCGTATGTATTTAGTGCCTCTTTGTACCAATATCTATGTGTTAAAATAAATAATAAACGATAAATCGTGTTATATTCATTGTTTCCTTGCTTAGATATTTTTTATCCATTTCAAATATTTTAGGAACCAAACAGTGTCAATTTTCGCCTAGTTAGTAACAGCATACAAGCTATTGTTCACTGGACTTTCAATTTTTAACGAATATTCCATGAGGTTCTATCTTAATTCTGATTGGCTCATTCAACACCGTCAGTATAGTATACCTTGACTACATAAACAGAGCAACTACCTAAGAAGTATAGATGTAGAAACTATTATCAGAGCTATTCTTATTACTGACATTACATGTCACATTTACATAATGTTCTCCGGGAAAGTTTTCAGAACTAAAGGATTATATAACAAGAACAAAATGCCACATCTAGCAGACTACTATCTGCCAAGGATGCCACTATTTAACTTTGATTGAAGAAAACTGAAATACCCTATAAATTAATATAAAGATTCCATGATAAGCAGAACATGAAAATAAATTTTAAAAAACTTACCAGATTGAACAGGAATATGAAGAAATGAATACACTCTAGGATGTGACAATACTTCCGCGATTTCAACTAATTGATCTAATATATATGGCGGATTTGTCATACCCAAACGTAACATACACCCAGCAGGAATAATTGGGACAAGACCAGCCAATAGATCAGCAAGTGTAATGTGATGAGGCCATTTTTCAGATAATCCAGGACAAATAAGAGATGATGTAGTCCTGTCTAAATCACGGCCGTAAGCACCAAGATCTTCTGAAGTAAGCCATAGTTCCTTAACACCTTCTAAAATTTTGAATAAAATACTCTTTTTTAAACCATTGATAATTTTGGTCAAAAAAAACTTGGAAAGGTATATTTTATCCTCATTTCTTTTTATACCCATTCTTCCTGACAAAGATCACTTTGAGATAACCAAGTCTAATTGTCATTGAGTAATAATACACAGCCTTACTATATGATCACTGAAGAAACATTTTAAAATCTCAGTAATACACGTTCATGACCTTGCAACCAGCAGTCGGACTCAGGACTATGGGTCCCGCCCCAAACGTATAAATGAATCGGTACCCAACGGTGTACAAGCCTAACGTAAATCAATTCGCGGTATCATGTAATCATCTTACGTTGTCTGCTTCGAACAGCTCACTGGTTGATAAATTATTATCCATTCTCTAAACGCATATTCTAAAAAAGCTTACTAGTTAATCTTATTCTCAGTTTATGATTAAAATAGGGAGAATACTAACGAAAAGCAATGAAATACAAATCTATTTCTTGTTTAATCCATTGAATTATCATAGAAAACTTAAGAGAAACGTAGCTTCTATATGCACAAAACCCAGATTATCATCATTTATTTATTTATTTATTTCAACACATAGATAATGGTACAATGGGGCACCAAATACATATGCGCCACACAAATCTCATTTGATATGTGTGAGGGCTGTGATACTGCCCAGGTACCCAAACAGGAGCACATAGTTTTCTTAGGGGGCTAAACTCGGAGCCTTCGACCTGAAGGTCTGATCCACAAGGCAGTGGAGCATCGTAAGGAGATGCAGTCCCAAGGAAGCCGGTGACCAACAATTGGTTCATACGCCATTTGTTCCTTCAGGATACTGGGGCCCATGTGCACCATTGATTTGGTTTGGAATCCGGTTAAAGCGCCGGACATTCGCTTTTCGTTCTCTCATTTTCGTAAACAACAACCCCGCTACAAGAAGGCAGTAAGTAGGACTTCCCTGGCAGAGGCTGTGTACGCGTGGCCATGCGAGAGCATTCGGAGAGGGAGAGAGGACTCTCCGCACTCTCAGCCGTACCAGGGTATTTGGGGGCAAGATTATCATTATACTAATAATAAAGAAAAAACTGATATAAGAGATATGAGACAAACTAGAGAGTGAATTGTACAGAATTATCACACTAGATAGGTTAAGTTAAATGATTGACAAATACCTTAATCTTAATCTTATATGATATCTAAAAGGATGTTTTTATATATGGACTTAAACTAATATAATTTGTAGAGGTGGAAAGGTTGAGAAAAGATTTAATTAGAGAGATTCTTAAAACAAAAGAATTTTCTATTAATTATCCTCCACTCTAAATGTCGGACAGAATACATCACAACACTTGTATCATAATGAATGACTTATTCCCTGAAATACATCAATAAATATACATATCTACACATTTTAGTTTCATGTACCATAAGCAGTTGGGATAAGGAATGAAAACATCAATTCATTTTCTCTTATTAATAGTTTGGCGGTTAATTCAAAAGTTATAGAGACTCTAGGTGATATGGCTTAGAATTGATCACAATGATGTCACAATGTATACACACCTAATCTTCCATTAAACTGTGAGATTCAAATTGTTTCATATCTTTCTTTCTACGAACCACTTCTTTCTACCTGTATCATATCCTTATACACAATCTTTGTTTTATATACTATTACCATTGAAGTAACTACTTCTATGAATCCGGTATTCATCTTGTTGTGCTAATGAAGTATGGCAACTTGAACGGATGTATATATGTGCCTGATCCTACGTTGTAGCTGACTGACTAACTGACAGACTATAGAAAAGCATAATACAAGTTAAAATTGAAAAAGTACGATGTTGGATACATTATCAAAATTTAAAATAAATAAATGCATGATAAATATAAACTAACCTTTAAATGCTTGTTTAGCACGATCTAATAATTGTTCAATAGGATAACTAGCTAATATACCACGAGCTTGTTTTGTTTTACAATATGTACATGCATTTAAACAACCTGTACTTATAGCCAATATTTCAATTAATGGATTACGTCGAATTTTCGGTAAATCTAATGCTACACCAGCTGGTGATGATGATGATGAATTTATCATTGAATTAGATGTATCTGATGATGTATACTTTTTATCCAAAAATCGTACCACATTTCCTAAATTATTTATATATAAATATACATAAACAATGAAGGTGGGGGAATCAACTGTAACAACAACAAAAAATGATAGAAAATGGAAAAGATCTCATTAGATAATCGATGACGGAGACGTTTAGCTGAACTTGAACCGATGCATATATGTAAAAGGTCCTATGTTGTAGCTGACTGACTGAGATAATCGACTAGAACTAACTAAATTTCATTTCATATAGTTTAAAAAAGGTGTATAGTGAACGAGAACTTAAGTAAAGATAACCAATTTATTGTTTCATGCAAAATGACAAAATGTATGAAAATCATACATTAAATACTTCATTTACACATCTTTGATTAATTGTCTCTCAAAGACTTCATCGTTCCTTCATTCCTGTTCTCTTTAATTCGATTTTCTCAATCTTCTGCTGCCAGACATTCCATTTCTGATTTGTGCTACATACTACTTAGATCTGTCAACATAAGTAGCATACACCACAGGTAAATAATATGAATGATTCGCAGTGACAGCTCAAATGTTATCTTCTAATATTCCATGACATAGTGGGAATATAATATTCTAGGAGTTAACAATCAAATAGCACAGTTGATTTCAAATGATCAATATAAATCCGCTCCGATTATTGTACCATAGTCTGTTTGGTCATATCGAAAATAGTAGAATTAATCTATACACTACTTATTATTACCCACAGTCAGTAATATCTAAATGGATTTATCAGATACAAGTTTCATTCCAAATATGCTCTGTTGAATTTTACTCCATTCACATAAATACTGGTATAAATGAGCACCGAAATAGATTTGAGCCACACAACTATAAGGAGATGGAATTATGAAGAAACACGAGAGAAAGGGAGAGTATGATTTAACAATAAATAAATAAAAACAGGGGAACGGAGAATAGAATATGATAGAAGATACACTTCGGTTAAGAATAAAATCAGGAAAACTTTCAGTTAAAGGAGTTCCTCACTTTTTGATAAGTGATATACAAGAAAACTATAACATGATTGGCATTGGCTTCTATTCTGAGCCATGTTTAAAAACGTTTTAAGCTACAGGAGTCATACCATCCCAAGGAATCTAGTCTTGAACAGCTTTCTCCAATACTATGGACCTATATCATAAACTGACTACATGTTGAACATTTAGAGGAAATCACGCCAAACCTAATATTTCGATGAAAACTTACAATAAAACTAGTTTCTATGAAACACAGAAAATACATGTTAAACGTTTGCCCCAATCTAGTAAAAGATCTTAAACACCAAAGGGATAAAAGAGGGCAAATGACTGACAACTATATGAAAACAATCATATTCACTTACACATCTATAGATGTCAAAATTTTCACTGGTAACAGACACACTGTGTAAAGTATTTAATCAGAATAACACAAAAATCAACAGTACTTGCGATGAACACGGGGTTGTATAGTTTTCTCAATGTTTTTAAGAAACATACATGGATAAACTTTTACTTTATTTTATTTAGACACATAAATATCGGTAAAAGAAGGCATCAAATAGAGATGTACCACATAAATCAATCGATATGTGTGAGGACCTGGATACGGCCCTGGTGCCCAAACCGAAGCAAATAGATTTTTTAAGTGGTCATAACACAAGATTTTGACCTAAGGGTCTAATTCACAAGGCAGCGGAGCAACGTAAGGACATGCAGTCCCATTGCAGACGGTGAACAACAATTGGTTCATAAGCCATTTGTTCCATCAACATACTGAAGCCCATGTGCACCATTGGTTTGAAATCAGGGTTTTCCAACTCTCCTACATGGATGTTCCACATCCACCAACCTGATTAAAGCGCCTGGCATTCGCTTTTCGTTCTCTCAATTTCATAAACAACACCGCCGCGAAAAAGCAGTGAGTAGAACTTCCCTGGTAGTGGTTGTATGCACATAGCCATGTGAGAGCATTTCGAGAGGGGGAGTTGATTTTCCCCACTCTCGACCGTACTACAGCATTTAGGGTTACATAGATAAACAGTAGAGACTGTTGAATACACTGAACAACAAGGATTGATGTGTAATTAGTTTATTAAGAAGTGAATTATTATAATTTCAAAATTACTGATTATTAGACAGTGACAAAGATGAACATTTTCATTGAGTTTAGAAAGAATAAAAATTTCAGGAAATTCTCTAGACATTTTTAAAATATGGATCAATAGTTTACTGTTTTACTGAGACCACAAACTGATCTAAGCACTGGAAGGTTGTTTCGTTCTAGTATACGATTCTTCAGTAGTCCACGCTCATGACTCTGGAATTGGGAATCAAACCCAGGAGATCATTGGTCTCATAGTTGAACAATGAATATAAACAACTTTGTATTCTATTGTTTAGTCGCCAGGAAACTTGGAAGTTAAATTTTAGGTAGATTACTTAATAATAACACCGAAAAACGCTGAAATGTGTCAAGAAATATTCTATAAATATATCTACAATGTGTTTGGAAGTAGGTCAAAAACAGCATATTAAAAAGCAGTAAATGAACAAATAAACATAAGGTCTATGACTGCAGGAAACTTAAATTTAAAAACGCATATAATTCGGTGATGATATACAGTGAAACTAGTGTAGATGATATGCATAAAGCACACATTAAACATTCATGTCAATATATTATTTCTTTTATTTTATTTTAACATATAGATAATGGTGCAAGGAGGCGCCAAATACATATGCGCCACACAGATATGTGTGAGGGCTGGATACTGCCCGGGTGCCCAAACCGAAGCAGGTGGTTTTCTTAGGGGGCCACTCCCCGAGCCTTTGATCTAAAGGTCTGATCTACAAGGCAGTGGAGCATCATGAGAAAATGCAGTCCCATGGAAGCCGGTGACCAACGATTGGTTCGAACGCCATTTGTTCCTTCAGGATACTGGATTCCATGTGCACCATTGGTTTAGGATCCGGTTAAAGCGCCAGAAATTCGATTTTCGTCCTCTTAGTTTCGTAAACAATAGCTCCTCCACGAGAAAGCAGTGGGTAGGACTTCCCCGGCAGAGGCTATATACTCGTGGCCGTGTGAGAGCATTTGGAGAGGGATAGCGGACTCTCCCCACTCCCAGCCGTACCAGGGCATTTGGGGGCTATGTCAATATGGTTAAAAAGATTTTACACATGTGATAAATAAGAGTAAACTACCGTCACGGAATTCAGTAGAAAATGAAATAGATTCTATCCAAAAATTTAAACTGTTCTCATACTAACTAACCAGACAAAAGAAGAATTCAATTGAAAATTCTGTGAACAAATATGATATTACCAATATAAAAGCTACTAACTTAACAAGAGAGAATCAGTTAGCATCATTGAAGACTTAGAACTAGATGAAATTGGATACGCTTCTGATCAAGTTAAACACATTGAATAGAGCCCAACTTTGTATACCACAATATTCGCACAATCTCATCAAAATACAATCAATGCTATTATCCAAACTGCATATATTTAAATGCCCATTGATTACGGAATAAAAAGCACATAAAATGCATAAGCACTAAAGTAAATGCTATTGTAGGTAAATGTTATTTTGGATAGATGCTAGCAGTAGGATTCAAGATTTATATTAATTCTTAGTTGAAAGACTTCAGTTAGATATGTGTCCGTATCCTTATTGTTTCAAAAGTCAAAATGTTATCATCCATCATGTCACCATGTTATAACATTGATCAAAACTTGTTCAATAGATATGGTATTTATGAGCGTTAATACTCAGAGTTTAGATTATTAGTTTCTATTGACCTACAAGGCTTATTATAGTGACGGCATAGTGATATACTGAAAATTGGGACAAACACACGTAGACAATAACTAACCTTGTAATGTTTCTTCAACAACTTCAACAATACGATCAATTTGATGCACACCAATAACACTAACACCCTGAGCAGAAAAAGAATTAGGCACGTTAATAAAAATAACACATTGCAGATAGTTAACAGATAATCTAACGGTCAGTCATAAACAGCATAGCTTTTGACATAAAAATGTGCATAGGTTTAACTTATCTCGATTTACATTAACACAGCCAATTTGAAAACAGAATGGGAACAAGCAATGGTGTGTACCTTTATGACACTGAGTTCTCACAGTTTCATTCAATCTCACAGAATCAACCAAGCTCGAAAATATTTGATCTACTTTGAGCATGATGTTATATTTGAATCCACTAGACTAAGGAGAATTATGGCCGGATCACTGAATATCAATAGGCAAACTAGGCTAGCTCTTCCATAGTGGCTCGGTGAGATCGAGAAAATGAACATACTTGGATCCAGTATATAGATTTAACAGATAAAGCTTAAGGTAGTAAAATATGCTGTTTGATTCGACACAAGATTTAAACAAATGTGAAATATAATACAAAGCCCATGACACAATTGTTCGAAAGCAAAGTCTTTTAAAATCAAATATAAGATACTGACTTATTACTAGAATCTCAACTGTAATTTGAAAAGTGCTTTGTACATCTACAAAAATATTTGACAACAAATAACAGCATTAGTTAACACACTAAATACTCTAACTACTACTAGTCATTGACTTTATTATTTATTTTAACACATAGATATTGGTAAAAGGAGGCACCAAATACATATGTGCCACACGAATCTCATTTGATTTGTGCGAGGGACAGGATACTGACCGTGTGCCCAGACCGAAGCAGGTGGTTTTCTTAGGGGATCAAACCCGAAGCCCTTGACCCAAAGGTCTAATCCACAAGGCAGCGGAGCAACGTAAGGACATGCATTCCCATTGCAGACGGTGAACAACAATTGGTTCATAAGCCATTTGTTCCATCAACATACTGAAGCCCATGTGCACCATTGGTTTGAAATCAGGGTTTTCCAACTCTCCTACATGGATGTTCCATATCCACCAACCTGATTAAAGCGCCTGGCATTCGCTTTTCGTTCTCTCAATTTCATAAACAACACCGCCGCGAAAAAGCAGTGAGTAGAACTTCCCTGGTAGTGGTTGTATGCACGTGGCCATGTGAGAGCATTTCTAGAGTGAAATGAATGATGGGTAAATAATTGTTAAGTGAGAAATTTAAAATGCAGTAAACAGGTCTATTGTCAATTATCTCCAACGTTTTTCGGTCATAACTTTATCATTGTTTTGGAACCGATATATATTTGATCCATCACAAATTTCTCATAAGTCATTTAACGAATATAGAATTGTGTACCCGACTCTGAGTCACATTTATGGTGTAAGAACTAGAGATACATAGAAGGTGCCGACAGAGGTAGATGAACCATTTTAGAGAGCAACAATCGTCAATATTCCTACAACAGAAGTAAAAGAGTAACTCATTTAGGTCGTTTTTAACTTTATTTAACTAGTTTTTTTCCCAGCTGATGTTTCTGTTTAACGTACCGACATAATTTATAATAGCCCTAACCAATATTCATCATTTTAATGTTAGTCCGTGAATTCATAAAATGATTAATAACTCCAAAGCAAAAACAATGAAACTATTGGTAGGATCTATACTACGGTACCGATCTTTTGACCCATGTTCCCTAAAGCTTACAGATTGCTCTTGACATATTGTTCCGTTTTCATTAAATCCATATCATTAGTTTGGCATAGCAGTTGAAAACAATGAGGGGGCTACTGTATACAATGAGATACATCCTTACAAAGAAGATAGATGGAAAGCAGGAGCCAGAAAACATTAAGTAAAATGATCTAAAATATTATCATATAAAGATAGTGGAAAACCGTATATATTACTAAATCTGAAAAATATGAAGGACTGAGAAGAGAACAAACATGGAACATATAACTAAAACATCACACAGTGCTACGAACCTTTAAGTAATCTGCACCTGGTCGACTTTGTGGTACACAACCAGCGGCAACAACACGTTTGCCAAGTTTTATTCCCTCTAAAACAGCATTTCGAAAGTGATCTTCGGCTGGACCTTTAACTGTACAGCTGTTCAAAACCCAAACATCTGCATTCTTTTTCGCATCGCAATTTGGAAGAACAGCTTTGCTTTTATCCGAGTTTTTTTCTTTTGAACAGCATTGATCACCGTTGTCTTGGCATCCACAAGCTAAATCTGATGTAGAAGTGATATCTCCCGCCGACTCACAACCATTTGTAAACTGTGAACCATCCAGTGTAACTTGATATCCATATTTGGCTAGCAGTCCGGTCATATATTCACTGTCACTAGTATTATGTGCACAACCCCATGTTTGTACAAAAACATGAAACTTTTCTAGAAAATGTTAAAAACACTTAAATATAGCACAAGCAATTGAAATATAAACTAGTTTGTAATTCTCTCAAATACTAACGTCGATATATGTATTTGTTACTTAGGTATTTTTATTATAACACACTACATTATTAAAAATATCGTTGTAATGAGCTGATAACTCGTGATTGAATCAGAAACTTATAAAAAACGTAGGACGGAATACAAAAGCATCTCGATTTATAATGGCGAGTGAGAAAATACTGAAAGAAAGAAAAGTTCACTATAAACAAGTAAAACGAGAATAAAATGTACAGTCAAAGTGAAGATTTAAGGAAAGGCGAAAAGAAAGCAGACAACTGCTTAAATGACTGAATTTTAATTCGACAAAGTGATGTATTTGATCAAAGATAGTTGGAATGCTCGAGAATAAACTCTTGGTAGTGATTTCAACCTAGCCAACAATCATTAACAATATCTAACAACAATTTTGATGGAACTGAAACGATGTCAACAAGCAGAAAAAAACTATGACGAGGATTTTCTGTAGGTTGCCTGTAATCATCTGATACCAGTCAACATTTTCAGTCCACAGAGTAGTGTCACTAAATTTTGAAGCGTCCGAGAAGTCGAAGCTCACTGACTAAGCCATCCTTCAATCAATGTGGTTTGTGTTCTAACTCGCATCTAACAGGGTAAAGATGCACATATATTTTCAAACTTTACATAATATGGCTCACTACACCAAACTAAGTGGACTTATATGAATCTTCAACTATACGTCAGTGAATCAGCTCAAAAAGGTGAAGGTTTAAGAAATTACTACGTAAATAAAAATCATACATGGCAAAGAAATTTTTTTAAAAAGGATACAAAGAAAACTACTAACCAGGTAAGTTACTACTAAGACACAAATCCTCAGAAATATTTTGCTTCTTATTTCTAAATCTTGTCTTTACTAGTACAGAAGATTCTGTCGCCGGTCTATCGTGTTCGGCAGATAAATCTTCAATATCCATTAGCAGGTATGAAAGTTTATACTATATATGTGTGCATAAAATCTGAAAGTTGATAAGCAAGAATAATTGATTAGCAAACAGAAACACCAGGTATTTATTCATACAAATGGGTAACAAACAGATTATTTAAACTGGAACAAACAGCCAGTTTTAGATTTTAAATTGGTGGTTACTAACTGCAAAACTTCTTTAATAACATTTGTTCATATGATTACATAGAATAGAGAAATTAAAAAAGCGATCAAGTTATAAAAGAAATACTTTGGTTTGGTGGTAGACCCGAAACTCACTATATTAGTATTATTACCAACAGAACGGGATTTCAGAAACCTCGAAACTCATCGGAAGTACATGCTTACAATCCTTTTACTTATTCCCATGAAAGAAGAAAGACGGGAAAACTACCTTGAGTTCGGCACCCAGATAAGTAAAGATTGAAAAGCTAAACTGAAACTTGTTAGGTAAATAACAAAGTGAATCTTTTTCCAACGTTAACATTAACTCATGTTGATAATGGTAGCACTTGAAAAGTAGGGGCAGTTTTAATGTAGAATTATTTAAACAAAAATACTGAAACAAATGAGCACCAAAACATATGTCACATGAAGTAAAAATCATTATATTTGTTTGTGCTGAGATACTGTTCTGATGCCCATATCAAAACAGGTGGTTGTCCTGGGAGGCCGTATGATAATAACAATTGAGTTTTAATTTCCATTTGCATTCAGTATCCCTGTGATGAGTCAGTGTGAAGTTACTGACTTTTCAGTAATCTCTTCTTGATGTTACTGTACAGTTCCACGTTTTCGGTATCGTCCGATATGATAAAGTTGACGGTATCAAAATTATAATTTGTGGACGAACCGATTAGGTATAAGATAACAGGTCTCGGATTTCGGAGCGAAAATCATCCATACATTCGGCTAAATATCGTTTTATCTATTTCAGCTGATGTCAGTTCGTGATAAAATACCAAAATCTAATTTCTAACGCTAACCATCAACAGAAAATTACAATCCTAATTCTCACATTGGTTTATGAACCTCATTTAGCCTTAGTAAGTAGATGGACATTCTTAAGCCCACCCTGGCGTCGCTCACAAGTCGTCCATAGATTATGGTCTCATACTGAGGAAGGAAAATGGTTGATCACATCATGAAAAGCTATGGAGTTAAAATGCAGACGTGTGAGAAAACAACGGTCAGCAGGAACAAATGAACCGACTAGGTGATCAATATAAAGAACTGTGAGAAAAATTAGCAAGAATGACAAGGGGCAACATGGCGCGAAAACAGGATAGTATTAAGGCACCAGACAAGTGTCAAGTACACATGATCCAGACAATGCTATCAAGCCCTCTAAAAGAACCATCTAGTAGAGTGATTATCGTCACGCCATCTGATGGAGGACTGCAAGTAAGGCCGACCTATATTAACAGTGGCATTAGCTCGGCATTTTCTCAATGATGTGCAATTCGCCACTGATTACGTTAAAGATGATTGTGCTGAAGTCGTTGTATGTCTTTTTCCTAGACTGACCTGAAGTATACCCCAGGCGTGGCTTCAACTCTTGCGATTTTACTTACTGCGACATTTTGCGGGGTGCTAGACTAAATGATTTTGCCATACAACATACAAGTAACCAAGATTTTAAATCCACTTGGCCACAAAAAGTGAAAGAACTTACACCTATTCAAATGGAGACTGCTTTTTATTTATGGTGAATCTATTCACTTACACCACACCTTTTACTAGTCGGTACCGAAATATCTTGAAAACACGACAGAATGTTCAATTCTCAATCTTTAGAAAAGTGTTAGTTTAGGTGTACCAGAATTTTGAGTGCTTTTGGATAATTATGAACCACATTAAATATCGTCCTGTTGCTTCAGGATCCAGTATAAGAATTCCAGAAAAGTTTTAAACAGACAAATTCGCCTCTAACCCTAGAAGCCTATTCCGTTATGCAGCCTCTCTTCGTCAAGCCAAAACAGGAGTTTCTCAACTGCTAGGACCTAACGGCCCGACCAACAACGATGGCGACGCCGCCAAACTTCTGGCGGCCCATTACTCTCAAACATTTCAACCGGCTGATATCAACTTTATCGACGACAGTTTCATCTGCAATTCCACAGGACTTTCTGAAGTGGACCTAAGCGCTGACTTGGTGTTCCGGAAACTGCAGCACTTAAGACTTGACACTTCTCCTGGCCCGGATATGGTTCATCCTGCCATACTGAGGGAGGCAGCCTCAATCCTGGCAACGCCGCTTAGCGTGATGTTTTCACACTCGCTTAGCCGAGGCAAACTACCGGAAAATTGGAAGTTGGCTCACATCACACCAATTTTCAAAGGTGGTCGACGCAATGAACCTTCAAGTTACCGGCCGGTAGCTCTTCTGTCGTTACCTTCAAAACTCATGGAGTCCCTGATATGCGACGGTCTAAATGACTACCTACTGTCCTTAAATTTCTTCTCACCCCAACAGCATGGTTTCAGGAAGGGTTACTCTTGTATAACCAACCTGCTGACTGCGGTGGACAGATGGACAAGCATCCTCGATCGCAAGGGAAAGGTTGATGTCATTTACCTTGATTTCTCAAAAGCTTTTGATAAGGTTAACCACTTGTGTCTTATCAACAAGCTGAAACGACTAGGTATCAAACCACCTCTAATCGACTGGCTTAATTCATACCTAAAAAATCGACACTTTAAGGTCAGGGTTAATTTCACTTTATCTCAGGCTATGGAATGTCCTAGTGGGGTCCCCCAGGGCTCAGTACTAGGGCCTCTTCTCTTCTTGATCTACATAAATGATCTTCCTCAACAGGTAACGTCAGACTTATTACTTTTTGCCGACGACGTGAAACTTTGGAGAGAGATACGCAACCAAGACGATATACAGGCACTTCAAGAGGATCTGACTCGACTTCAAAGTTGGGCAGACGATAATGGACTTACCTTTAACACTTCAAAGTGTAAAGTAGTCCATCTGCGACATGTCGGAAACTACAGTTACAACTTAGGAAACTCCTCTCTAGTAGTATCCCAAGTCGAAAATGATTTAGGAGTCCTGGTGCCCCATGACTTAAAGTCTTACGCTAACTGTGACAAAAATGCCTTCCGAGCAAACCTTGCACTGGTAACGTTGAGGCGCATTTTTGGTCAGTTTGACGGAAGAACTTTCCACACAATCTTCAATAGTTTCATCCGTCCCCATTTAGAGTACGGAAACATAATACTCCCCCCCTCACTCCAAAAGGATAAGGTCACTTTGGAGCGTATCCAACGGCGAGCCACGAAATCAGTTCGAGGACTCAAATCTAAGCCTTACGAAGAACGCCTCCGTTCACTAGACCTTTACCCACTAGAATATAGGCGTCTTAGAGGTGATTTATTAATGGCTTATAGTATTCTTAACACTTCTGGACATCCTCTTAAACACCTACTTAAGCTTAGTTCGAATAATAACCTAAGGGGTAACACCCAGAAACTGGAAACACAACATAGCAAGACGGAATGTAGACACAACTTCTACTCCTTAAGAGTTGTCAAAAGCTGGAATTCGCTGCCGGCCGAGCTAGTCCAAGCGACTTCTCAGGAGTCCTTCAAGAGGCAACTTGACCGATTCTTAAGGACCAAGGACAGCATCGCACTATGATTTACCAATTTCTTTTCCTCTTTTATTGTTAACATACCTAGGTTCCTGCCTGGAGGATTTCGTGATCCCCTGCTACTAGACACGGAAGCCTGTTAAGCGAAAGCTTCTTCTATTCCGTCCACAACCATTTGAACCATTTGAACCATTAAATTGATATTGAATTCTAAAAGTTCAAATGGTTCAAATGGTTGTGAACAGGATAGAAGCTTCCGTTTAACAGGATTCCGTGGCTGGTAGCAGCGGTGTGCCAATACCCTAAGGTAGAAACCTAGGTATATTAACGATAAAAGAGGAAAAGGAAACCGGTAAATCATAGTAACATATTGTCTTTAGTCCTTAAGATCATGTCGAGTTTTATTATTATTATTATTATTATTATTATTATTATTATTATTATTATTATTATTATTATTATTATTGATGGCTTTATTCAATATTATAGTTTGGTACAATATAGAATTCTCAGTACAGGTTATTTCAACAAGTAACTTACGCAACAACAAAAAAACAGTAACGAATACAGGACTTCTGCGAAGTCGCTTGGACTAGCTCAGCCGGCAGCAAATGCCAGCACTTGGCAACTCTTAAGGAGTAGTAATTGATTCCACAGTCCGTTCTGCTGTGTTGTGTCTGTAGTTTCTTGGTGTTACCCTTTAGATTTGTGTTGGAGCTAAACTCAAGTAGGTGTTTAAAGGAATGTTCAGAAGTGTTAAGGATACTGTAAGCCATTAGAAGTTTACCTCTAAGACGCCTATGCTCTGATGAGTAAATGTTCAGTGATTGAAGGCGCTCCTCATAATGCTTGAAGTTGAGTCACCAAAATGATCACGTTCCAGAGTGTCCTTATCCATTTGGAGTGAGGAAGGAAATATTATGTTTCATTACTATAAATTGGGAACGAATAAAACTAATGAAGATTATGTGGAAAGTTCTTCCTTCAAATTGGCCAAAAGTAGAAAGTCTAACGATACCTGTTGTAGAAGATCGTTTATAAAGACCAAGAAATGAAGAGGTCCTAGTACTGAACCCTGAGGGACCCCTCTACGATATTCCATAGCCTGAGAGAATTTAAAGTCAATATTAACCTCGAAATGTTGATTTTCTGGATACGAAGCAAGCCGATCGATTGAAGGTGACACCTATTCGTTTGAGCTTATTGATAAAACATATATGGTTGACCCTATCATTGGCTTTTGAGAATTCAAGATAAACGACGTCAACCTTCCTCCTTACGATCAAAGGTAGTTGTCCATCCGCCCACCGCAGTCAGCAGGTCGGTTATTAAAGAATGACCCTTCCTAAACCGTGTTGTTGCGGTGGAAAGAAGTTTACGGATAATAAATAGTCGTGTATACCGCTGTATATCATGTACCTCATAATTTTATATGGCGTAGAGAGCAGGGCCACCAATCGATAACTTGAAGGCTCGCTGCGTCGATCTCTTTTGAAAATTGGGGTGATGTGAGTCAGCTTTTAAATCTCCGGTAGTTTGCCTCGGCTTAGTGAGTGTGAGAACATCACGCTAAGCGGTGTTGCCAGGATTGAAGGTGCCTCCATCAGTATAGCAGAATAAACCATAACCGGACCAGGAGAAGTGTCTTTTCTTGGATTTTGCAGTTTCTGGTACACCAAATCAGCGCTCAAGTTCACCTAGAGAAGTCTTGTGCAGTTGCGGATGAAGCTTCCATCAATATAGTTAATGTGAGTCGGTTGAAATGTGTATAGTATTGTTCAGCCGGAAGGTCAGCGGCGTCGAAGAGAGGATGCATAGTCGAATAAGCTTTTCGGATTGGAGACAAACCTATCAATAAACTTTATCTGGTAGTGAAGCCTGTCTTCACTTATTGCCTCCGTGTATATGTTCCTTATATGTTTGTATTGCCTGCACGCGTCGTTGATTTTGGTTCGTTTGTATTCTACACAACAGTGTCTTTTGCAGCTTAGCAAACAAAGAGTGTGGTTTCTAATGACTGTAGGTTGTTTGTAGCTTTTGGGGACCGTTTGAGGAACTGACTGCTTTGTAGCACATATGAGCGTGTTCAGTATTTAATCCCAATGACCATCCAAATCAAGTTGAGGGTAAACATCTCAATCCACTTGTTGTAGATAGTCATGTAGAGCTGACACACTCAACCGTTTGAAATCCCAGTGCCTGTTGCTTGTAGGATAACTTTGTTCAGTTTTGCTGATAAGACTGAAGGCTAGAACGGCGTTATCGCTTTTCCCCAGGGGAGCCAGGATCAAGAGATCTTCAATCGGAAATTCTTCATATGTAAGTACACAGTCTAAGAGTGACGGCGTCTGACTTTCTTCAACGAGTTACCGACTTCACATCTTCAAATAATCCCAGATCCGCAATGAGTTCGAAGAACCGAGCTTCAATAGAGTTTTCGCCTCGAATGTGCGTGTGTTCCGCGAAACTGACTTTAGGAAGATTGAGGTCCACATTAATCAGGATATGATAGAATCCGAGACGCATGTAGCGGTATAATCCTTCCAGGATACAATTGTCGTGCACGTTGTCATCAGTGGGCTTCCTGTAGATGACTCCTACTAGACACCACCACACAGGTTTACCAAGATAAACTCCTGGTTGTGCACTTGATGTACCTCCAGGCAGGATCGTAAGTATAAGGTTACTCCAACCACAATTACTATTTTTCTGTCGTTGCGAAACAAATACATCCCGGGTATTGCCAGCTCCTGGTCCATAAACTGGGAAGACATCCAAATTCCAGATATTCCATCAGATGAGCATTGTTAGCATTGCTGAGTTCACGTAACTCAACCATTTTATTCAGTAATCACGCGGCGTTCATGTATAAGGAGGCTATGCTTTCAATTTGAAAAGCGTAAGCTTTTTCTGTTTGTCTGTATGAGCCTTACGTGAATAGACAGGTAGCCTAACTTTACAAGGTTTTTCAAGTTAGTAGCCCCTGTCATTTCCACGTGTTATTTAATAACCTAGACAGTCCACAGGTGGAACTGTCAGCTCCAACTTGCCTTTGTGCTCGATCCCAGCGACATGTGGCCTATCCGGATGCACATGAATTCCAGATGGCAACCGGCGTCTGTGAAAATGAAATGCTTCCATAGTTGCAGCCGCCATATAGGAGGATGGTAAGATTTGCTTCATCAGCCGAAGTCTAGAATCTCAGTTTTTCTTGGTTAGTCTCATCACTTTTTGAGTCAATATGTTTTTGAGCTTCATGGACTGCTTGATGAATTTACATTACCGAATATTGTTAATGTAGTCAGGGTACGTGTTTTCTGGTACATCTTGCAAAATGATATTTCTTCCGCGGGAAAGCATATCGCGCGATTCTTTAAGATGTTCTGGATGAAAGTGTGCTCAGAATACCGTATATCAGGCAGTCCTATTACGTTCCCAGTTGATATGAATATGCATTGAGTGGCCACATAACATTGCTAGTTTACGAATGTTATCTCTTTAAGTTCTGTATTAAATTAACATTTTCAACTGGTCAAAGGGATCACCAAAATACTTTATGTTGTTGCATGTCGTATGGTCGTCACCGAATGTTTTATACTAGAGGATGAGGATTATATCTTGAAACCTTAAACCGATTTTCTCATCCGTTTTATGTAAAACGAATCCAAGAGGGAAATATTATATAAAATAGATGAAAAATTCGCGAAAGTCTTGTGGTGACGAGGAAAAAATCCTTGAATAAAAAGTTCAGTGGTTGCGACCTCATTAGTTTTACTGAACACGCCTATCCGAAAGTGCTCGGTCACACATCTGCAACTGGTCACGAATGGACACGTTGTGCTAAACATCGCTTGCAACACCTAATCAGCTTATATCAGATGCCTCGTGATATATAAATAGACTTTCAGATGTATCCTCGAACCAGTTAGTGTTTGACTTCTGATTTGACTAGGTTAGGATACTCCGGTTACAAAGGTGTTGTTTGTGAAGGCATTGTCAAAATCCGAATACCTATGTCATCTTTAGTTTCAGCATCAAACAGAGCAAAACTTGGGCTCTGATTACTAACTTGTCACAGTTTGAGATTGTAGAGGACTGAGTTGTCCAAACTAATCTTGGTTCTGACATAACATGTACGTATAGAGAGGGGAAGGTACTGTAAACAGTCTTTAACATCAGCTATCTCGCACAACTATCTCTCATTGGGAAATTCCTTTTGATTTAAATGGCATAATTTAGAGAAGTATTATTTCGGGGTCGTCAACATCCTTGGTACGGTTGATTTTTTGGTCAACCTTTCTGATCAGAATATTGGTAGTCATAATATTTCGAGACTTCGAAAGTCGTTGGTTGGATCAATTACTTTTCGCTTGCTTTCAATTTCGGCAATATGAACATTCGGCTCTAAGTGGTCAACTGGCTTGAGTCATGTTAATGTATTAGACTTTTCGCGTCGTGGTATGCTATTAAACTGTCGATGTAAAACAGTGGTTTCTTCCGCCACATTGTACATATTATTTGAATGACCATCATAGTTGTTCGTTCTATCAGAATCCAGGGCTTCCACTTACTATCGAACTCAGAATTTTATTTTAGAATTTTGTACCCAAGTAACAGGCTTATTTGATCGATTCAACTGTGTGGGTCAGAAAATTGGATAGGCATATTCCAATGGAGTAGGAAGATTTAGACCATAACCATCTTCTCGTTGGTAGCTTTCCGGACAAAGCTGCACACCCCCAGTGTTTCACGTAACCTTAAACTAGGTCAGTTTCACTTTAGCCATACCAACCTTCGTTGACAAAATACATTTTATTTCGCACTGTTTTTCTTTAAGTTCCACAATTATTATTGCATACCCAAAACATCATCTATCCGACTGTTTGTTAGTGTGAAACATTCACATCACAACGGGATTACAATCAAACCCACTGGAAACAGCCATCACTAATAGATTCAGATTACACTTACTTCCTTAGATTGTCATTGATCTTACAGAGTCTTATCAAAAACCTCATGTTTAAATGATAAAAGACCCAGTGACTCATAATCGACTATATCATCATCAGGTTATCATGACTGACCAATGGATTACACAGAATAGGATAAACAACTGAAGTCAAAATATCACTCGAGAATATTCTTTGTTAATAGACAAAAGTAATGTGTAATACAGAATTTAATCAAGTTTATAAAGTGTATAATGATCAACAGTCAAATAATATATCACAAAGAATGTAATCGATAAATAAGAGACAAATATGTTTATGATTGTTTTTTAACTAATTTCGGTGTAGTATAAATATCTAAACGCCGTTGTCGACCAATTGGAATACTTTCACGAACACATTTCAATTCAGAAAAGTCTAAATCAGCTGTTATGATTTCCTCCTACAATAAGAAAAAATTGAAGATTTTCAATGATTACAAACACTTTTACAAATTCAATGATAATAACAAAATTATAGGATACCTTAGAAGCAAACGAACAATATTGGATAGTGGCTAACAGTGGAATCCAAGACGCGCGTTTCGTCTTATTTGGGACTCGTCAACTGGATGTAACTGCATCTGAGTTGATGTTCACACTGGGACTCGAACCCAGTATCATTCGCTTCAAAAGCCATTGCGTTATCCACTCAGCTACTGAGTCCTGATAGCCACTTGCTTGTGCGATGGAGTGAATTTCAATTCACTTAGTATTGTTTGGCTTGTATCTGACAAATGACCAATACATTTCAATTGTCCAATTAGAGTTACAAGTTGTGATCTATGATGCCAAAAGTGTCATGACCTACGAAACAAACACACTGGTGAATAAAAAAATGAACAAGATTTAGGTACCAGACAACACAAACTATAGGTTTTCCTAGGCAAAACAACACCATCTTTAGTGAATTATTGGGTTCATTTACAGTATATTATACCGTTCAAGTAAACTAGTGGGATTCAGTTGATCTAGTAAAATACAGTAATAACAAATTGTGAATACTTACAGAGTATCAACTACTCTACGGGGAATAAACAAGAGAAATTTTTACTCTCTGATCTCAGACCAAAATTATTAGAGATAAAAAAACAAATTAGTGACTGAGAATTTTACCAGATTTATTAAAGGATGACAAACAGTTAATCTGAAATTAAGTGAACTGAGATAAGGAGACTGTGCCATAGAAGGCAGTATAAAAACGAAGAATATGATGTGAGATTACTGAGCGGTAAAAATTAAACTTTATTTAAATGATAAATTCACTTGGTATTGTTTGTTTGAATCGTCCCATTGATGTTTAGGACTGTGATAGCTACAAGTAAGTAACTATCAGGACTCAGAACCTACGTAGATAACGCGATGGCGTTTGAAGCGAATGATACTGAATTCGAGTCCCAGAGTGAACATCAACTGTGAGATACAGGTATATCCAGCTGATGAGTTCCGAATAGGACGAAACTCGCGTCAAACTGGATCCCACTGCCAGCCACTATTCATCTTTGTATATTTATATAAAGTAAATTATGAGAAAGTAACACACAAAAGCTTTTCTACGTCATCCCACCATACGAAGATGAGTTAAATAGGCTCAAGTTAGTTGTTAATAAAATGTACTGTGCAGAAAAGGTTATTATCATTGGAAAAACAAAGGTCCATGTTTCATCGGAAACCTAAACGGCATATAAACGATTGCATCACATCACACGGATTTTTTTTAACAATTTACATGTGTGCGACCAAACACATACATGATGAGCAACCGTGACTTGTAAGTTAGGGTCTCTGGATATGTATCAAAATGGTTACAGAAATAAATAAATTCAAACATATAGTAGAAACAGGTCATCAGACTAATGTGTTAACTTAGACTTTGTAGTTTTGTACAAAAGTTGTCTAGAGTTCATCGAGGCGTTGGTCATACTAACATTCAACCCCCCCCCCATTATATATACAGAAACAGTATGTTTTCAACATCGCAAACCTACCCTGATAATATTGATTTATAACCTAGAATGGTGAGTTACTGACTGTTTTTCATATTATTTTCTTTATTGTCATTATTTCCTTTTGTTTTCCACACATAACTACTAAATGACAAGTATACGAGTGATTAGATTATTCAAAATGTATTGAGCTAATATATTTGCGTCTTCTTACTACATCATCATCTAAACACTTCTACATTTCAAGTTGAATTCATCAGGGGAACTAGATTTCAAATAATTAAACTGCTTAGAATTTCAAGTGTATTGATGATTGAAATATCTAGTCTCTAACAATTACATGTAAGATTATGCTCTTCAAGACTCTAGAGAATCATAGCCAGTTGAATGTTGTATGTCCTGGGTTCGAATCTCGCAAGGCGGGATCGAAGATACGTACTGCTGAGGAGTCCCACAATGGGATGAAACGGCTGTCTAGTGTTTCCAGGTTATTAATGGTGGTCTAGCTTCAATTGATTTATGATCCCAACCATTAAAACTTAAATAACTTTATAATTAGATCATCTCTATTAATACCGTGTATTTTATGTGCTTATATTTAACAACAACTTTAGTATACTACACAGTAATGGTAAGTAAAGAAATGTTTAGCGTATGCAACTGTTTACCTTTGTTGAAAAAAAACTGTATCAACCAAACTGATAATTACTCAAGTTGTGTATTTAATTACAGATATATAACATTCATCCGGTTTTTTCTGCCTGATAATGGCTTTGTTTGCTCTTCCAACCACCACCGCCAACTATGACGTGCAATATTTGCCTGTGTATGATTAGGTTGGAAGAAGACTAGAAGAACACAAACTAAAATCTTGTTGATTGATGTAGACCACCCAGTTGAGTCCCATACGATAATTGTGACCAGTAGTTAGAGACGTCGAATAATATGACTGAGAATAGATCGCAATCACACAAATGAATTCAGTCTCTGTCTTCCATCTTGAATTTTGAGTTTTAAAACTATCTTATACTCTTTTATTTCTGAATCATAATGTCTACGCTGAATATTTTGAATGAATCGGACATCCCCCCCCCGATTATCTCATCTTGTTGGGATAATACAATATGATATGACAACTTGAATCGATGCACAAGTTCTACGTTGATTATGTGTGGCTGACTCCTCAAAACTTGATGCCATCACCAGGTTACATAAATCTATCAATAGTTTACTTTCATAAAATTGATCTGAAAAGTTCAAATGAATAGTGAAATACAATGAATTATTATCAGTATTATTCATCAAATACTTACCTCTTTACCGCCTTTAGCTATAACTATACCCCATGGTGAAGTGATCAATGATTCAGCATGACTTATGTAATCTAATTCTAGATTACAAGCTGGACTACACATTCCAACATAACATTGTGTGTCTAAAGCACGTGCTCTACCCAATAATTCCCAATGTAAAGATCCTAAGATTTTTTTGGAGAGGGAGGGGGAAGGAGAAGTGACAAATGGAAAATAAAGTATACTTTCTAATTATTGAAGTGAAAAATATACACAGTTACAAGAACATTTTTTCCCAGAAAAAAGATCACAAGTTTCACACAAAACTATTACTAAACGTAGTAGATAAATAAACACAAATAAAAACTGTACTTCCTTGTCTAAGTTAAGGTATTGAAAAATCATACGAAGTCAATTTGACACTATTAATGTAAATATCAATATGAAAATTATCACTATATAGTTGTGGAGAATGTTGAGTTTAGGTTGATATCATGAATGGATCAATGTAAGACCACTACTAAAAATCTGAAAGCACTGGAAGGCTGTTTCGTCCTAGTACGGGACTCCTCAGCAGTGCGCATCTACAATCCCGAAAATTGGTACAATAACTAATAATAGTAATAATAATAATAACCAATCATAAAACTGGGTAATTAGATTAAAGTAGTAATCAATATCGTACTATCTATTTCTTAGTGATGATCGAAATTTATCGATCAAGTAATATATGGTCATAATTCAGTGCATTGACAACTCCATTCATATTTGTTCAACGTTAAAATGGTTAGAGTTGTTCTGATCGACATTAAACAAGATATTTCTATATAATATCTAGGGAGATGATGTTTCCTCATTAGTGTATTCAGAACTATTCGGATCGAGAAATGAAATCCAGTGGGATTAATTAATCCTTAATGTTTAATTTGTATAAGCATACTAACGTCACACTACCTAGTCACTAATAATCAATGAACCCAATTTGAGTAAAGTTTCGTCCTTTGAATTGAATAGTTTGGCCGTGAAGCTTTTGTTCTTCTCCTTCTGAACAACATCATCAGCACAAATTTCAGCTAGAAGTGAGGTATTCAAATTGCTCTACATATAACTGACGACCTGTCCTGTCAACTATGATCTTTATTGGTTATTCTTAACCATTATTTCTGTCATTGTCGGTACATCTATTTTGATTAATTCTCTTATTGATCTGATTCTTGATTCTATATTTGTGTATGTGATTTTGCTAATCGATTGATAAATTGAGTCGATTACGATTTTCTTTTTTATTGTTTTACTTGAATACTAAGCTTCTTAAAAACAAAAAAATTCTCTGACCTATTTATACACCCCTTATTTAAAAATGTCAACGTTTTTACAATCGAACGTGTCCATCGATATCAACGAAGCTACAACGTCATAGCATTTAACAGTTAAGCTGATATTCATGGCAGATGAGGATGAAGAGGGTGTAGACTTTGTTCGAATTCATGCTTCATGAAGTTGAGACAGTTTATTTCATGGATGAGATTATACTTGCCCCCAAATGCCCTGTTACGGCCGAGAGTCGGGAGAGTTCCGCTCTCCCTCTCCAAATGCTCTCGCATGGCCACGCGTATATAACCTCTCTCAGGGAAGTCCTACTCACTTCCTTCTCGTGGCAGGGGTGTTGTTTGAGAAAATAAGAGGACGAAAAGCGAATGTCCGGCGCTGTAACCGGATTCCAAACCAAATCAATGGTGCACATGGGCTTTAGGATTCCGAGAGAAAAAATGACGTATGAACCAATTGTTGGTCACCGGCTACCATGGGACTGCATCTCCTTACGATGCTTCATTGCCTTGTGGATTAGACCTTCAGGTCGAAGGCTCGGGGAGTGGCCCCCTAAGAAAACCACCTGCTTCGGTTTGGGCACCCGGGCAGTATCACAGCCCTCACACATATCGAATGAGATTTGTGTGGCGCATATGTATTTGGTCCCTTCTTGTGCCAATATCTATGTGTTAAAATAAATAAATAATAAATAAAGAGATTATACTTATATTAATGAGTAAAATTTACAATACACCAAATTAAATAAATCCATTCTATTCAACAATGGTGTTTGTTTTTACTTTACGATAAAACATAATCAAGGGTAACAACTATATGAGAAAAAAATGGAATAGAATTACTCTTTTCTTTTCTGCATAATATTAAATAACTAAATTGTCTGACTAAAGTTTAGAACTATCAATGTACTAAATGAGAACACAAATAGCGACTAATCAAATGTGGCTATCAGGACTCAGTAGCTAAGTGGATAATGCCATAGCAACTAATCGAATGTATTTGAAGACAAAATTATAAAACATGAAAGTAAAATCTGAGAACCATACAGTGAATACTTAATTTGTAAAATGTCAATCGATTATCTCAAACTTGACTGTTCCTGCATTTTCATATCAATTACTTTCTGTTCCCATTTTTTCTTTCTTGACCTACTACGGCCAGACATTCTAATCTTGATTATCATTAGATACTATTCATGTCGATATAAGTAGCACATAGCACACAAAGACCAAGAGAAAAACATTGTGAATCTGATAGAAATTTCATTTGTTTATAATAGTAATCTGAAAACTTCAAAACTTATTTTCCTTTTTTGGTTAGCCTTAGTTATTATCATTTTTGTAGAACATTGTAAGATGTTAAACTAGAAAACATCTAGAGTATAAATTTAGTTTGAAATAGTTTGATTTATCCAATTGTTGATAGTTTCTTTTTGCCTGAAATTTGATAAATCTTGGTTAGTATATAAGCAGCATCCTATGTAGATTGTTTTGATATAGTTGTTATATCAATGCAATACGCAAGATTGATCAAATTTCTGTTAAGATATTTCAGCAACATGATAATTTAGACCATTTCAAGATGAATTAACCATATAAAAGTTGAACAAGTAAATGATTATGTGAGATTAGAAGCTAAATGGATAACGCGATTATATTTGATGTGGACGGTACTTGGTTTGAGTTCCAGAGTGAATATAAACTCTAGGACACAGGTAAGTTCGATTGATGTGCCTTGAATAAGACTAAACGCACATCCTTGATTGTATTGCAGCCCACACTCCATCTATTCTATATTACATCGCATAATATTATTGCATTCATTTACATTTTCGAACAGAATTCATTTTAGCTAAACGCTATAAAGATAAATTTCTATCTTCTAATTGCTCTAGTAGTAGTAGTATCTACACAAGGCAAGATAATTGTACATATGTATATTTATGCTTGTTAAATATTCGTACAATGAATTTCGTATTTGACATTCGAGTACCAATAGAAAATATCGACTGGAATTCATCTGACAAGTAAATTTTACTACAGAACACACATAAAAAAAAGAGAAAAGAAAAGAAAGATATATCATAAACTTACCAGTTTTAGGATTGAATGCAGCAGGGAATAAAAGTAATTGACATCCTAATTGATTAGCATAAAGAAGTGATAATTCCGGAAAACGAATATCATAACATATACCAATTCCAACTCGTATTACTGAAATTTTATTCTCGGCATTTTTTAAAGGTATCTCAAAAGAGAATGTCTCTTTACCAGAACTAAGTGAAGCTGATTCTTTAAATGTAAACTGACCTAAACAAAAAAAGCAATAAGGATAAATGAAATTTAATTTAATGATATCGAAACTGAAAAGATAAAACAAAATAGATGAGTGAACAAAATGTACCATCATCAAGAAGGTACAACTATTTATAAATAGTTGTCTACGCAAGATACTCAACATCCATCGGCCGGATACCATCAGTAACAGCCTACTGTGGGAGAGAACAAATCAGCTTCCAGCCGAGAAGGAAATCAGGAAAAAACGTTGGAAGTGGATTGGACATACATTACGGAAATCACCAAACTGCATCACGAGATAAGCCCTAACTTGGAATCCTCAAGGGAAGCGGAAAACCAAAGAACACATTACATCGGGAAATAGAAGCAGACATGAAAAGGATGAATAACAATTGGAAAGAGCTGGAAAGGAATGCCCAAGACAGAGTTGAATGAAGAGTGCTGGTGGGCGGCCTATGCTCCTTCACGAGGAGTAACAGGTGTAACCAGCCAGAACAAAATGAAAATTAAGTGTTATTAGACTTGATATCATTATTAATTCATCTGTAAAGTACAGATTTGAGCCCGATTCTACGTGTATCAGGGTAAGTGATATTACGCTGTTACCTAAAAAGGAATAGATGGACGAGAGTTCGAACCTACGAGCTGTTGGCAAAAAATTCCAACAATCTAACCACAGAGCCATAGTACAAGAAGAAAAAGAAAGTAAATTTACTATAAAGTTTTTTTATGTATAACAAGAGCGCCTTTTAAAAACCGAATTGTTGATCAAATATAATGAAGACAATACTGATATTTCTGAATCGGTTAAAACTGTTAACTGAGAATAAAATACATAGTGAATCGATGAAAATAGTGACGTAAAGTTAGCGAAACTAATCTACAAATGAGAGTAAATGGGTTTACTCGGTTATTAGCCATAATATAACGTAAGAAGATTACAGATAATTCCGTTAGCGGCACCAACTGATTTGACTGTTGGTTAATGTTTGATTTTGAATGGATCTTGTTTCATAGCCTAGTAACGAACTACGAAGTAACGTGTAAAGGGGAACATAGATCTTTAGAATGACGTACATATGAATTGCTATCTCGAATCTAATTATAACAATGTTGATCAACAAATATATAAAGTTGTAACATCCTAATGGGTAGAAAAATTGGATTTTTAATTTTTTTTATGTTTTGTGGCTGTGTATTGATCAATTTTGAAAAAGATCTTATATGAGTCTATTTCATGACAACAAAGGTATCAACTACATATCTGAGACAAATTCATAGTTTAGATTCGGTCTGGGCAACCGGGCGATATCAAAGCCTACACACAAATCAAGTGATTTGTGTGGCGCATATCTATTCAATGCCCTTTTGTACCAATATTTATGCACTCAAATAAACAAATAGAAATAAATGTCATCGACGAAAATATTTGATTCTAAATGTGACATAAACAGTTTGGCTACAGTCAAGGAAACTGGTGATCCAATTGCTATTCCATTTTTTTGGTTGGATAATGTTCCCTTAACAGTAAACAAGGTTGAATTTAAGCACAGTTTTAGGGATTTCATGATCGGAATGATGCTTAAAGGATATCTGTCAGAAAAAGTATCATCACTCTCTATCTCTCTCTAGTAAACCAATAATAAAATCTAAGCATCTATGAATAGGAATACTAGTGTATGATGATCCACCTTATAGTTTACCATAATTTCATTCTTTACGAGAATTATGTAAGTTGTGTTGAAGTGGCTTTAACATACTACTTAGATATCTAGATAATGAATATGTTGGAGTGTTTGTAAAGTCTACTATAGATTTTAATGAGATGTCTGATTTATGAATTTTAGGTAAACCATAAAAACGTGGTACAGTGCATGATTTGGGGTATAAATTAAACCATAAACAGATTGATTTTAGTTCTTTCAAAAGTTGAATTGTCTCTGATTTGACTTTATTTTTAACCGTTTGAAGATATTTTAGATCAATCTTTTGATATGGTTCTGTGGAAAGATGTTCAAAAGCTTCAGTATCATAATACTTTTTATTCATGACTACTGTTGTGTTAAAGTGTAGAGCTCTCAGTTCTTCTTTTCGACTGTTAGGTGTAAGGTGTTTTTTTAGTCAAAATATGCGTTGTTTTTTGACGTATTAAATGAGACTCTATTTCCCGGTAGTTGGTTTTATAATCAGAGCAATTTCAAGAGTACTAAGTGGTGTTCTATGATTTCATGGTTGCTTAGATTCCTGTCTGTGAAATAATGAACAATTCTTAGACCATTAGAGTCATCAAGTTGATATTAAAAATATCGAAATAATACAAAACTTCTTTTCAAACTACAAAGAAAGATGGATAGCTAAAGCTCTCCATATATTGCTTAACTGCCCTCAATAGAAAAGGTATCAGTATGCATCCGACATGGACCATTTATCTGAGCTACCACGTCTGATTCTATTCTCATACAAATCCTGTCTCATCATTTCACATTTTTCATCCATCAATACACGCACATACAAACATGTTTCACATAAAACATATTGACCGAAATGACATGACATTGACTTGGTCAAACTTGTTTTTTGATCCATCGCACTAAATATTCTTGCTTAATTCCTTTGTACTATTTAAACTTGGGTTAATTTGATATGTTTAATTATTCTCTGAAGATGTGGCCTACAACGAGTTACGAAACGTCGGAAAATCTAAAAATCCAACTTTTCTACCTATTGGGATATTACAAATATATTATTTTTTATTAGTAACAATCTACCCAATGCTTAATTTATTTAAATTACCCAATTAAACCTCGGTAGTGAAATCTAACTATAACAATTTATCAATAAACAAACTACATGTAACTAGATACAACTTGATGTAAGTGAGAAGGGAGATGCCAATTCACTTACTATCGAAAACAATATTTCAAGTCAAGTTTTTCACATTGATTCATTAACATCGACTAATCCAATTTTTAATAAATTTCAATTAGTATGGGTGTAGAATTGTGGAGATTGTAGGATTTTCATAGTTTAAATCATGAATTGATCTAAACTAGACCACTACACTATTGGATGCAGGCTCAGTGGTCTAGAGGTCTAGAGTTCACGTACAAGAACGAAGTATTTAATCCTCGGTCAGGTCGTGGATGTGCATTGCTTAGGAGTCCCATGATAGGACAAAACAGCCGTCTAGTGCTTCCAGGTTTCACATAGTCTTATATCCAAAAGCTTACAATACAACATCCAACAGATTACGACATAAAAATTATGTCACCATAACACGAGATTACACACAACACATATTCTCATCAGATTTATACCAGATGCTAGCATTGAAAACTGAAATTTAGTGTGACATGAAACTGATTACATTTTGAAAGTCATGCTGACTACAATCCCAGATAATAAATAATTTCATCATTTGAATATGAGATAATAATTTAAAACCATTAGGATAACGTCTGTAGTTTTGATTGACTCAGTCAGACAGTCAGTCAGCTACGACGTAGGACCAGGCACATATATGCATCGGTTCAAATTGTCACACCTCATTAGCACAATAAGATGAACACCAAATTTATAGAATTACTTCAATAGTGGTAATATATAAAATAAAGATTGGATATAAAGATATAGTACAGAAAGAAAGAATTAGTTAGTAAAAAGAAAGATATGAAGCGATTTTAATCTTTTAGTTTAAGGGAAGATAGAGAGTGTATACACCTACGCCATTGTGATCAATTCTGAGCCATGTCACCAAGAGTCTCCAACCATTGGTTACGATAGTCACTCGGACCCCAACCAAGTAGTCTGCATCTACCAACATGGCTCAGACTAGATGTTAGTGACTTCAAGGACTGATGCCACATTTTGGTTTGGCCGCCCCTAACTTTCTTCCAAACATCCCCAACACTAGTCAGCGTTGCACGTCATTGTAATTGGTGTTCAGTTACACGTAGGACGTGGCTCAAGCACCTCAGTCGATAAAGATTCACAACCTCGTCAAATGATTTACCATCATTGCCTAATACTATGCGTCTAACCTTATTACAAATCATACTGTTACATGGTTGACCTGATTACGTTTACCTATAAGTTAGTGATTTTACCATTGGATAAACTTGTCATTTATTAGATTTGTATCGACTGTTAGTTTAGAAGAGAAAATGGAAACTTAATACTAGAGAACAATTATGTTTTATTGAAAAAAGTTCGACAGTTTCTTTAGATTACCTGGTATATCAATATCGAACAAGTGTAATTTACGATATAAGCCAACTAGTTCACCATCTGGATTATATGTTGCACAACAGTTATACAACTTGCCATCAGGTCCACGTTCAGGGATAGAACCACCGACAAGCCATATTTTATGAGATCTGTAAATGATTGAACAAGTATTTATTTCAAAACCTATCTGTTATTAAATGTTAAGGACAAACAGTAAACTGTCATTGTATCTCTGTGTTATTTACGGTGTCACGTTTTGTAGCCTCCAGCTTACAGACATTTTTGACAACGATATTCAAATGTATGATTGACTTACACCTTTACAACACATACAAATGAACTACGATTTTATGGTTTTTTACAAATATAAAGTTAAGTACTGCAATAATCTCGATCTTACAGAAACACTGTTAATGCACAGAATTATGCAGTCTAAATGGCAAGCACAACAGTGAAAGAACGCACATGCCAATGAAAACCAACCAACAACAAAAAAGAAATGAAATAACTTTAACTGAAATCTTCATTGTGGAAGAATGCAATCATAGTTAAACTAACTTAGCAGCATCTGATAGCATTTGGCATGACGGACCGTTTGGAACAGTTTCTGCATAGGGTCCAAAATATTTTGCACCAATAGGGGAGGTAAAGCATTCCGGAAGGCATACAAGGTGAGGTGAATGCTCAGATACAGCTCGATTAATTAATTCAGAAGCACGTTTTATATTGGCAGTCTTATCTGCGCCCACGAACATTTGCAATAGTGCCAGTCGTAACATTTTTACAATCTGTTAGGAAGAATATTTTATTTCAAATGCTAGGTAATTGTTTAAATAAATAAAATCTGATCATTTATGATAGTCAACACATTGCAGTTTTTACGCGAGAATATAGTGATATCAAATTTAAGGGTGGAACATAAATCATACCTTTTAAAATTCATTCACATTTAGTACTAAATGTTACAGTAATACTTTCTGTAAATTAACCCTGAAAATCTAATCCTCCCAAAAATGTCACCATTCGACTTACTAATTGTCTCTTAGTTAAATATTTCACAATCCGTCAATCGGGTTTGAATGCGTAAGTTTTACCTAAAAATTACTGGCTCTTTCTAGATACTCTCACGTATTTGACTAAATAACTGAGTCATTCCATCACTATATCTACTGCGGTTTATGTAGCCTGGTTACATGACTACCCCTCATACCTAAAATGTGGTTCAAAATCAAATACATGAATATTTACTTGGTAAAGGCGATGAAAAATAATTAAAATACTAGCTTGAACAAACCTGACTCTTATAAAACCTCAACAAGGCGGCTCATAATCTAGCATGTAAGTTTATAATTTTACTTGGTTGTGCATATTTGAAAGATTTGGATCCTACTATTACTACATGAACATTAAGAGACATTTGATATAATAAATATGCAAAGGCAGGTTTGTGTGAAAATATAATACATATCTCACTAGAAATGACTTTCAAGAAAATATGTATACACAATATTTCTAGTTGTATTCATTAAAATAGTGGCTTCAGTTACTGTGAAAACAAAGAGCAGTCACACATACTGTTGTTTAAAAGCGAGTACGAAAGCCCAACTAAATGGTCTTACCTCCCGATTTGTTGGCAACAGGTTGCTACGAATTGCACTGCCACAGAATATAACTATGAACTGAGCAAAGTACTTGATGTTTTATGAAGAGGCAAACATTATGTGGGTAACAGTCAAAAGCCCATACTACAAAACGTTTAACACAAGGGAAGACTTGGAAACAATTTTCTACCAATCCTGTAGTGCATATATAGAAAGTTTCAATTTAACACAAGATCTTAAAACTTTGGATCTGACATTTAAACCTTCATTGATATCAAAGTAACAGAGGTTAAATAATAAGGGAATTAAGACGTCATACTCAAAGCATTGAGACGGGACGAAGATGTTTAGAGATTTAAATAATTTCACACTTAATCGAATGAGATTTTTTCAACATTTACTAATTAACATACAGTAAACAGAATAGCATTTTCTCAAGATGGAATAAATCCCTTTTTTGGTATAAGCAAATTTGAGTTCCCATTATCGATAAAAAGAAGCGAGTGTTTGGATTGCATGTTATCATAAGAGCTTCAGCGAAGGACTTCAGTGACCGTCTATAGAAGTAATTTGCCTCACTAACAGAGAGTAAGCTAACTGCAGAACGCACCTGTAGCACTGATTTCGACTTTTAGAGTCAAGTTACATGATTCTGAGAATCAACTAAGGTTTATGAATAATTTTCACGGCATATAATTACAAGTCAACGCCTTCACACCTTTTTTAGATTTAAGAGGATGTTGCCTTATCCCAGGAAATACTTTTTATCGCTACAGTAATCACATAAACTTCCCTGATGAATACAGCGAATCAGTGAGTTATTGATTTAATTTGTACCACAAACCATTTCGTTCATGGAAAATGGATAACATGATACGCACCTACAAGTGTGGTGCCGACGAAATAATTCTTTAAGACAACCTGATAACGCAAACTGACTGAAGAATCTGAACATGGAAAAAGATTCATAACAGCGATGTTTCTATAAAAACAGCAGACAAAATGCAGATTTACTTAGACGAGTCCTCGAAATGCCCTGGTAAGATCGCGGGTGGTGAGTCAGCTCTCCCTCTAAAAATGCTCGAACATCGCCATGCGTACACAGTCACTACAGATATCAACATAAACACTTCCTTTAGAGTAAGGGCTATATATATATATATATATATATATATATATATATATATATATATATATATATATATATATATATATAGATACCTATATGTACAAAATTATAGCATTCGTTGACTATATAACAAATAAAATGCTGTATAGATTAAACAGTCTCCTCTGTTGTTTCATATAGATAATGTTTGCAATGTATGTATGCAACAATACAACCAACTTCATGTTTGTCACATGCGAAGGGACCATTAGTTGCTTTGTATTGCAGGTGAAACATAAAAATATTGATGACCACAAATTTTGTGATACAATTATAGTGTTTCAACGACCTACTAAACAACATAGGCTACTTAAAACCAACTACAATCCAAGACAAACCTAAAAGCTTCAAGCATCACCTGTTTGAAATTCCGCTATGCAATTCAAATGGTTCAAATGGTTGTGGACGGAATAGAAGAAGCTTTCGCTTAACAGGCTTCCGTGTCTAGTAGCAGGGGATCACGAAATCCTCCAGGCAGGAACCTAGGTATGTTAACAATAAAAGAGGAAAAGAAATTGGTAAATCATAGTGCGATGCTGCCCTTGGTCCTTAAGAATAGGTCAAGTTGCCTCTTGAAGGACTCCTGAGAAGTCGCTTGGACTAGCTCGGCCGGCAGCGAGTTCCAGCTTTTGACAACTCTTAAGGAGTAGAAGTTGTGTCTACATTCCGTCTTGCTATGTTGTGTTTCCAGTTTCTGGGTGTTACCCCTTAGGTTATTGTTCGAACTAAGCTTAAGTAGGTGTTTAAGAGGATGTCCAGAAGTGTTAAGAATACTATAAGCCATTAATAAATCACCTCTAAGACGCCTATATTCTAGTGGGTAAAGGTCTAGTGAACGGAGGCGTTCTTCGTAAGGCTTAGATTTGAGTCCTCGAACTGATTTCGTGGCTCGCCGTTGGATACGCTCCAAAGTGACCTTATCCTTTTGGAGTGAGGGGGGAGTACTATGTTTCCGTACTCTAAATGGGGACGGATAAAACTGTTGAAGATTGTATAGAAAGTTCTTCCGTCAAACTGGCCAAAAATGCGCCTCAACGTTACCAGTGCAAGGTTTGCTCGGAAGGCATTTTTGTCACAGTTAGCGTAAGACTTTAAGTCATGGGGCACCAGGACTCCTAAATCATTTTCGACTTGGGATACTACTAGAGAGGAGTTTCCTAAGTTGTAACTGTAGTTTGCGACATGTCGCAGATGGATTACTTTACACTTTGAAGTGTTAAAGGTAAGTCCGTTATCGTCTGCCCAACTTTGAAGTCGAGTCAGATCCTCTTGAAGTGCCTGTATATCGTCTTGGTTGCGTATCTCTCTCCAAAGTTTCACGTCGTCGGCAAAAAGTAATAAGTCTGACGTTACCTGTTGAGGAAGATCATTTATGTAGATCAAGAAGAGAAGAGGCCCTAGTACTGAGCCCTGGGGGACCCCACTAGGACATTCCATAGCTTGAGATAAAGTGAAATTAACCCTAACCTTAAAGTGTCGATTTTTTAGGTATGAATTAAGCCAGTCGATTAGAGGTGGTTTGATACCTACTCGTTTGAGCTTGTTGATAAGACACAAGTGGTTAACCTTATCAAAAGCTTTTGAGAAATCAAGGTAAATGACATCAACCTTTCCCTTGCGATCGAGGATGCTTGTCCATCTGTCCACCGCAGTCAGCAGGTTGGTTATACAAGAGTAACCCTTCCTGAAACCATGCTGTTGGGGTGAGAAGAAATTTAAGGACAGTAGGTAGTCATTTAAACCGTCGCATATCAGGGACTCCATGAGTTTTGAAGGTAACGACAGAAGAGCTACCGGCCGTTAACTTGAAGGTTCATTGCGTCGACCACCTTTGAAAATTGGTGTGATGTGAGCCAACTTCCAATTTTCCGGTAGTTTGCCTCGGCTAAGCGAGTGTGAAAACATCACGCTAAGCGGCGTTGCCAGGATTGAGGCTGCCTCCCTCAGTATGGCAGGATGAACCATATCCGGGCCAGGAGAAGTGTCAAGTCTTAAGTGCTGCAGTTTCCGGAACACCAAGTCAGCGCTTAGGTCCACTTCAGAAAGTCCTGTGGAATTGCAGATGAAACTGTCGTCAATAAAGTTGATATCAGCCGGTTGAAATGTTTGAGAGTAATGGGCCGCCAGAAGGTTAGCGGCGTCGCCATCGTTGTTGGTCGGGCCGTTAGGACCTAGCAGTTGAGAAACTCCTGTTTTGGCTTGACGAAGAGAGGCTGCATAACGGAATAGGCTTCTAGGGTTAGAGGCGAATTTGTCCATAAGCTTTGTTTGGTACTGAAGCCTGTCTTCTCTTATAGCCTTCGTGCATGTGTTCCTGATATGTTTGTATTGCCTATACGCTCCATCGTTATTAGTTCGTTTGTAATCCGCCCAACAGTGCCGTTTGCGGCTTAGGAGGCGAAGGGTACGGTTCTTGATTACTGTAGGTGGCTTGAAGCTTTTGGGAACCGTTTGAGGAACTGAATGGTCTGTAGCACATAAGAGCGTGTGCAGCAAGAAGTCCCAATGACCATCCACATCGATTTGAGGGTGAACATCCCAAACCACCTGTTGTAGATTGTCATGTAGAGCTGGCACATTCAGCCGTTTAAAATTCCAACGCAAATTATTGTTGGGATACCTTAGCTTAGTTTTGATGACAAAACTGAAGGCTATGACGGCATGATCGCTCTTTCCCAAAGGATCCAGGATTGAGAGGTTGTCAACTAGGAATTCTTCGTTTGTGAATACACAGTCTGGTGTCTGGCTGTTTCTCCAACGAGTTGCCGACCTCACATTTTCATATAAGCCCAAGTCATCGATGAGGTTGAAGAACCGAGCTTCAATTGAGTTGTCGCCTCCAGTGTACGTGTGTTCCGCGAAGTTGACTCTAGGGAGATTAAAGTCCCCTAGAATCAGGATGTGTGTGAAACCGAGACGGATAGAGCGGGATAGTCCTTCCAGCATACGACTATCGTACTCGGTGTCGGCAGTTGGCTTCCTGTAAATGACTCCGACTACACACCTGGAA